TGCCCCTTCAGTTGAGTAAATATGATTCATACCATGCTTGAAAGCCCTTCCGGTGCAAAAACACAATGCAGGGCACTCAAAATGCATTTCCCCTTCACGTTGATCCAATGTGTCCTTTCAGTTCTGAAAACACAATATAGTGCCTTCAGTTGTGTCCCTCCAGTGGAAAAGATGGATCCAGGACCCCCCAAGAGCACACCTCTAGTAGAATAAATGTGATTCAGGGCCCTCTCGAATTCCCTCCTATTGGACAAAATGTGATGTCAACCTTATGCTTTCTAGTGAGCCAAAGAAAGCACCTGGTGCCCATCTTGTTCTATTTTCCTACTCACAGAAAGTGTTGTGACCAGCAGTAATTAAAAAAATGAAATAACTTTCACGATAACAGCTAGGGATGGGTACCAATAGTCCAGTACTCGAGTATTCATTGGTTTTTTTAAACCATGTTTTTAGTAAGATTTTCAGAAAGTTTTACAAAATATAAAGAATAAAGTCAGACTTAAAAACAAACAAAAAACAAAACAGGGCTTACATTGCAGGACTTTATACTACATTGCATTGCTTTATACTACTAGCACAATATTTCTTAAGACAAACATTTAAAAAGAGGTAAGCGGTGAGAAGTAAAATCCGGGAACTCTGTCCAGTTGGGCAAGATAAAAAAAAAAAAAAGGCTGCCAGATGTTGAAAAATGTGGTAAGATTGCCCATCATGCCATACCGGATTTTCTCCATGTGCAGTACACAGGTGAGGTCAGTTAGCCAGGTCTTGAACTGGGGCACAGTGTCAGACTTCCAGAGATTTAATATCACCCTCTCTTTCGAATCTACGCTACTGTGGTTGGCTGAATAGGAAGCAGACATCTCAAAGTCAAAGTCAAAGTCAACTTCATTGTCAATTTCAAAATATGCCAGACGTACAGTGGAATCGAAATTGCGTTTGTCTCCGTCCCACGGTGCAATACAACCAAAATAAGGTAAAATAAAATGAGGTAAAATAAGATAAATAATATTTACAGTAATAAATCTGATTGGCTACAGACATTTCCTTGCTGAAAAAAATGCATTTGTGAATCTAACCACGGCAGGGGAGTCTCAAAAATCTCACACACAAATGCAGTGAGATTCACAAATGACAAAGAGTTTGTAAATGCAGACTGAACAGTTTGTATATAAATGTAACAAGATCCAAATGTGTTTTTAAATATATATGTATATGATATATTTGTGGATTTCTATGACATATACACAACTATAAATATTTGTGTGAATCAGAAATACATTTGTGATTCTTATTTTTTTATTTGTGGATTTGTTTTACATTTATATAGAATGAAATACATTTGTGAATCCTTCTGTGTGCATTTGTGAATATTGAGACTGATCTAACTCCATAGAAGTCGGTACCCTTTCATCCAGCTTCTTGCCCTGTAATTGAACCAGTTTGAAGTAGTGGGGGGGTATCTGGAAGTCTGAGCCAGCCTGTGAGCTGCGACTTGACACAGACAGAAGCACACACACAACAGCAAACTGTGAACAAGTTGAAATTCTTGGGAAGCTGATGTTCTGGGCTGGATTGTTAAACAGAATCCATTTTGACAAACAAATTGGTGCAATGTTGAACCGTAACGACTGTAGTTGGATTTCATCACAGCACCCCTCCATTGGTGGGGTTTCCAGGGCACCTTAGGGTTGTGCCTGAACACAGATGGAGCAAACTGTGAGCCTAAATCAATCAATAAGGCAACACCAGCAGGTGAATCTGTGCCCGTTGGGCAGAATCACATCACCATGACAACTTTGAGGTAATTTTGATATTTTTTATTTTGATAATTTTTTTCCAATTATTGTCAATTCTGTATTTATTTGGATCTTTGTATTTTAATTGTATTTCATATTTGGATGTTTAATCTTCTCTGTGATTGTTAATTGTTTGTCAAGTGATTTTTGTTTTTCGGTCCTGAGCCTGTGTGTCTTAGAAAGAGATAGGGTGACTATCTGTTTCTAAGACATGGATTAGAGCAGGGGTTGCCGGCCCTTATCTTTGGGAACCACTGGATTAGAGGATGCTGTTTTAGTTTTCAGCAGATCCTCCACTGTGACAATCATTGTCCTGCTCGGCTCTCTTTGTAGGCCATAAAACAAGCATACTGCTCCTCAGTCTTGAGCTTTCTCTTCTCATCCTGCCTCTCTCGGTTATGATGGAATTTGTCCACCCAGTAACCAACTTTCAGTTTCTTTGTCCACCCATGTGAGGAGCTGCTTTTAGGAGGTTCTGGTTTGTCTGAAGTAAGAGACTTTGGTGCAGCCTTCGCAGCAAAGAGGAGATAGGTGGAGTTGTTTGGGTGGGGCTTTTCTTTGACAGACTCACTGTCTGTTTTCTGCTCTCCAACCCAGTTATTGATCAGGGGTTTCTTTCTACCCTGATGCTGTTGTGCAGAGGTTGGGGGATCAGGCTGACTGTTGATTTTCTGCTCTCCAACCCAGTTATTGATCAGGGGTTTCTTTCTACCCTGATGCTGTTGTGCAGAGGTTGGGGGATCAGGCTGACTGTTGATTTTCTGCTCTCCAACCCAGTTATTGATCAGGGGTTTCTTTCTACCCTGATGCTGTTTTGCCTTGAGCTCAGAGGTTTGGAGATCAGGCCTTGCTTTGTCTCCTACTCTTGGCAGGGAACAGAGCCCAGCCTCCTCTCGCCTCCTCTGCTGCTCCTCTTCCAGAGCTTTTATGGTGTGCTTGGGACTTTTCCCCTGATCTTCTTTATCCACTTGTAAGAGCATACTCCACTGAAGCGTCTCAGCTTTCGGCAGGGCCTTAAGTTCATTGGCCTTCCTCTCCTCCTCATCTCTCCGTTTGGCCTCTTGCATCTTCCTCACCTCCTCATCTTTTTCTTTCTGTCTTCTCAGACTTTCAGACAATTTTTCTCTCTCCTCACGCTCCATCTCGAGCTTCTCCACGGCCTCTAGAGCAACTCTTTCTCTGCGCTCCATCTCCATGGCTCTTAGTTCTTCACTCATTCTCCTCCTGGTCTCCTTCTTTTTCTCCTCAAAAGTCAGTTTTCCAAACCATACAAGCTCCGTTTTATCAATGAGGTCACTCATTTTTGGAGTTGTCTTCTTTCAGTACTCGTGCTGGTTTGATATCAGGGTTTGAGATGTCTCCTCTTCTGCAGGTTTGTGGTCAATGATCCTCCCAGACTTAAAGGTTCTCTGAAGTCACTGATGGGGCTTTGATGTGTCATCACAATGAACATTCTAATCTACACTGTTTACATTCAAACTGCACAGTGTTCCATATAACTCCATATAAGGCAATATACTCTGTATTTCTGTATAATATCAAGCGGTAACCTAACTCATATTCAGGGTCCTCAAAGCTGCCCCTTCAGTTGAGTAAATATGATTCATACCATGCTTGAAAGCCCTTCCAGTTCTGAAAACACAATATAGTGCCTTCGGTTGTGTCCCTCCAGTGGAAAAGATGGATCCAGGACCCCCCAAGAGCACACCTCTAGTAGAATAAATGTGATTCAGGGCCCTCTCGAATTCCCTCCTATTGGACAAAATGTGATGTCAACCTTATGCTTTCTAGTAAGCCAAAGAAAGCACCTGGTGCCCATCTTGTTCTATTTTCCTACTCACAGAAAGTGTTGTGACCAGCAGTAATTAAAAAAAATGAAATAACTTTCACGATAACAGCTAGGGATGGGTACCAATAGTCCAGTACTCGAGTATTCATTGGTTTTCTAACCCACCTCTCTCTCTTGACTTGTGTAGCTGTAGTTTTGATATTCTGTGAGCTTTAATCGAGTATTCATTGTTGTCATTATCCAAGTAACGCTCACTACTCGCACACCTGCGCATGCACTGTTTCAGGCTACCATAGTTCTCTGTGAGCATAACATGCACCATGTCAGACATTACTGGGAAAAGTGATGTCAGTAACAAACAAACAAACGACAACAACAAATTAGACAGCTTAAAGTTGTCCAGGGTCGCCTTTTTAATAGATTAAGAAGAAGGGAAAAAAGAGGTGGAAAAATTCCCATGAAACATCGACTTAAACTAAAGTAATAAACTTTGAGAGTCATAAATGACCTTGTGCTCCTGCCATTTTCTTTTCTGCAGTGCAGCAGAACAAATGTCAGAGAGGAAATGATTATCAGAGCAGCAGCTGTCTCTATCAGATGCTGTTTTCTGCAGCCTATTATTTTCAAACAGGGCCCATTACGCAACCAAAGAACAACAGAGAAAGAAGAAAAGTGCAAATCCGTCCAAATGACTGGTAATCACAGCTATGTAGGCCAAAGGTGCTGCTGGAGTTTGGACCGGGCCCGGACAGGAGTCCCCCGCAGCTCCATGTGGCCCATGAGAAGGCTTCTGGTTCCCCTTGGGGTTAACGCTATCTGGGCCCGGCTCCAAACTCAAGCCCCAGGCCTTGATTGAAGCATTGAGAACTGGACTCTCTTATCTCATGGAAGCCCACTGGAGGAGTTGCAAGCACTCTGGTCCCAACCGACTGCTGGGCTTTATTCAGCATGGCGCTATCGTCAAAACACACACACACACACACTCTGACCCTCTGGCAGTGGGCACTCGCAAGCTTTTTTTTATGGTATTAGTAAGCTGTGCAGCGAGACATGGTGGACACACTGGAGTCTCTGTGTAAAAATGTTTGGATGCAGCTCTGTACATGTTTGAACATAATTGCGTCATGTGTAAATTATGCTCTAAAAGCGGCCAGCTATTATAGCAGCTTGTGTAGATTCTGGTGTAATTTGTCAGGGGGCCCCAGTATTGGGAGGGGTCTGAGATGCAAGATGGTCCCATGGTTTGTTTTGATGCTGAGCCAGAGCTTTAAGAAGGAAAATACAAGCCTAATGCATGCATATATCAGAAACACGCACATGCATTTATAATAACAACAAGTTTAATTTGACTTTGGAGTGAGAAATATGAGCTGTGAGTGTAACACACCTTGTTTTCTTGTTCCTCTCTCCAGGCTCTAGCAGCAGCAGCAGTGGTGACAGTGAGGAGGACATTCAGATGGACAGTCTGTATCTGAAGTCTTTGGAGGGCTTTGTCACTGTGGTAACGTCCGAAGGCGACATTATATTCCTGTCTGAGAACATCAACAAATTCCTGGGGCTCACACAGGTAAGCAACCATAGAAGCACACAGCAAGGATTAGAATAAAGGCTGGCATTGATTGTTGTAAAAAGGAACTTTTAATAAACTTGATGAACATGCATGCAGGCAAACACAATTCTGCAACTTCAAAATAAATATTACGAAGAAAAATGAAAAAAAATGTAACCAGTGGAGTAAAAAAGTGTGGGACTACATCAGACATAGCTGAAACCAGGTAGGAAAAATTAGCAGGATTTCAAATGATGTTTATGATCTTGTTCAGGTCAACAATGAGGCTCGATTTAAAACTTACTCGGCAGTTTTTATTGACTGGTATTAACTTAAAAAAAGCGTACCACAGAGGAGAAAATGGATTGTCTTTGTTTGATGACTCTTTGCAGTGAGCGATTGTTACATTCCACAAGATGCCTAGGGGATGAGGGGAGTAACAATAAATTAAAACCCAGGGAAAAGAAAATAGGAACTAATGTAAGCAAAGTTAAAATGGATTTATTAACAAACTAAAACACAATGTGCAACACAAAACAAGCTTCTTCTACAACACACAAACAAAGAGAAGCCAATTCAAAACTAACACTCAAGATATGAACAATAAGGCCTTAATCGGAACAAAATTCCTTCCACAGAAGGATCACACTCAATTTCTTGTCAAAGACACACGCAGTCCAACGACCCACTGGCAACTAGCAGCCTCCTCTCCTGCTCTTTACAGTTTGCCCCTGATTAGTAATTAGCTACAGGTGTGGCTGGGCACTCTGAGGCTGAGGAGCAACACCTGGGGAGCACACACACAGGAGAGAGAGAACAAACACACAAAACTACGGCACGTAACAGCAATGGGATGAGTTTCTGCTTGTTTTGTGTTGAAACAAGTTCTGTAGGGGCCACAACAACCCAAACAAAAAAACCCTGCTTTTGTCTTGTGTTTAACCAAAGCAAACTGGCAAACAAGTCTCACCCTGATACTCAGTGTGGAGACCAACTTCTGCTGTAAAGCTGTCACAAGACAGTCGTAGGAAAGTTATTTTTCATGTAAAAATGTTACCTGTGTTTATTTTATTGTTATAATGTTGTTCTTATTATTCAGGTGGACCTCACTGGTCACAGCATCTTTGACTTCACTCATCCATGTGACCACGAGGAGATCAGAGAAAACCTCAGCCTGAAAACAGCTGGTCAGTATAAACACACACCTGTTATCCTCATTACACATACCATCTAATTCTTCTATTAATTATTATCAGTATTATTTATTTGATAACCACCCCCCACAAAATACATAAACAAATAGTAATATCATATGTCGGTCCCTGCTACTCTTTATTTAAAAAAGTCTGTATACCTGTTGTACCTGGTTATGTACCTGGTTATGTACCTTCTGGAAATGCAACAGGAGCAAAGATCATGAGGTCAATAAAAGGTAACCGGCTGGTCTCATAAAACCATAAACAGGCGGCTGTGTGCTTCACATGGAAATCTGCCCATCACATGATGTAATGTGTGAAAGTTGCTCTGAAGTATATAAAGGTAACAGAGTCAAAGTCGTCATCTGCAGAGCACAAATTAGCCAAAAAGATAAAAGTCCCAACCAAATTTTCTTTTAATTTTTGATAACCTTGGCATGGAATAAGGTTTTTCCTCCGGGGAAAATCTAAATTTGTAACTATTGTAGTTCACATTAATATAATGGGACAAAAGTGAAACAAACAGAAAAGAAGTATAATGATGTCACTGTGCAGTTCGGGTTAGACAAAGCGACGGAAAAGGCACAGGAAATGAAAAATGTTGCAGTAAGGGTTTGTTTTAGTCAGCAAAATGTAGAATAGTAGAGTTAACTTCAATTCACAAATATAAATATAGATATATTAAACTGCTCTCTCCTCATTGAAATCAATTGAAACAAGACACACATGCTCAGATAAAAAAAAAAAGCGAGTTGGACACAGGGCCTTACCCACTTTCCAAAGGCTACATTCTTTGGCACAGTAACAAAACTTTATTTTCTTTGTAAAGTCCTGAACCTTTTTACATTTTTAAACATAAATGGTTGACCCAAGGCTGACTAGACTGGTAAAGCTTGTAATACAGATGTTTAGTTACAGAGCGTTCAATGCACATTTTTAACTTTACAATCTGAGTCAAGCCTTAAAGGTTATGAGACAGATTTTGTTGTTGGCACCATGGAAAGGGTCAGGCACAGTTTTAAGTGCCCCCAACAATTCAGCCCCCTCCCTTCTTTATGTGAGTCAAGACTAAATCCAAGGGAAAAGAAGCAAAAACAGCAAGTAGGGAGTTACATAATATTATCTATCTCGTGAAAAAGGGTCCAGAACAAACACGAGAACAGAAGGTCAGAGACCATATAGAGGACAACCTAAAGAGAGATACAACACAGAAGTGTGTGTGTGTGTGTGTGTGTGTGTGTGTGGGGAGTGCAGGGGGGAATGGGTTGATAAGCGCTGAGAGAGTGTGGACGGGAAGACGAGGAAAGACTCCGAGAGAGACGAGCTGGTCGTTATCTGTTACAGATAAGAAACATAGTATGTAACAGTATTTGTAGCACAATAATGTCACACAGGTTACAATGCAAAGTACAGATAGAAAAAAAAATGTCTATCAGTGCACACATGTGACACATGTTGATTCGACCCTCAAAGAGGCTTTTACTTTGGAAGGACACATCAGTACACGTGTAACACTGCACCACACAATCACACTCAGTAAGCTGTGTTGATAACTCTTATCAGCAGTAGCCACTAAACACACAAACAGAAAGTATCTTATATGTTATAGTCATTTTCACTTTAAAAGATTTATATATATATATATATGAAAACACAAAATGTCGTCTTGTGTTAGGATGACAACAGAGGTGTGTTTTTGTATATCTTTTGTTTTAAGATAAAGACACACTGGTGAGTGTGCAGATTCACAAAAGACACACTTCAGCACTTCGCTCTGCAGCACCGGCTCTGTGGCTGAACTCTGACCTTGTGATGTAACAGCTTGGCCCCACTCTCTCTCTCTTGTGTGTGTGTGTGTGTGTGTGTGTGTGTGTGTGTGTGTGTGTGTTAGATAGATAGATAGATACTTTATTGATCCCGAGGGAAATTCCAAGCATCCAGTAGCAGGTTACAAAGACGTACATGACGTGAAACATTTGTTACAAATTAAACCACAAAACCGACGCCCCCCTCCCATACATATATATTAACCCGAAGAAAGATTTAAAGAATACCCCTAAATGAAACAAACTTAAACTGTGCAGTTAAAAATAGATTTAAAAATAGTGTTGTGTTATTTTGTGTGTGTGTGTGTGTGTGTGTGTGTGTGTGTGTTGGGTTGGGTTGTGTGTGTGTGGGAGAACTAGGCTGGATTCAACCTTGACCATTTCCAGGTCATTTAAAAATATCTCTCAAGTAATTTTGACATTATGAGAATACAAAAACGGAACAAAGAGGCATTTGTTCGGACACTTTCAGTCGCGTTTGTCTGAAAGTCATCAGTTAACATGGTCACTCTTTTAACCGTAACACCAGAACGTCACTTCACTGATATTGCTGATAAATAGAGGAGAATCCCTCTCCTTACACCGCTGTAGGATGAAACATCTACAAACGTACAGGCAGCTTTATATATTATTGATCGGTCTGGGTCAATAATGCTGCTGTTTGAGAAGTGAAGGGCAAGAAATTCCTCATCATTCAGGCATCGGTGAGCGCTAATTAGCTAACATTAGCTAGTTAGCGTTAGCTAGCAATACTATCAGAATAGTATCAGCTGTCAATTTTAGTGTTCTGGGGCAGTAATTTGAGTTAACGGCAGGAATATTTAGATTTAGTCAACACAATAATTGATGTCAGGATGAGGAAAAGTCCGTTGTTTCCCCTCACAGGGGCCACGGAGGGTCTAACTGCAGTAATCCACAAACGTCCTCCTTTCTGTTTTTTTCTTGGATTAAATTTTGTACAAGCAAAACTCGGTTGGTTAGTGTTAGAGTTGCCACCTTCCAAGCAGAAAAATAAAGGACACCCCACAGCGGGGTGCAACTCTGTAGGGGCCTCACCACCACTCGCCCAACGGTGGGGTGGGGCACCAGTTGTGGTGAATCAGGATTTAAAACGTTGTTTTAATGAAGTAATAAGACTCATACTTAAGTTTTGTGTTTTTGTAATACTTGTTAATAAAGCACTTAAAACTTTGAGTGTAAAAGCAGATACAGTAATGTATGCACAGTGAAATGCACCTAACACGACTTCAGCAGATGCTTAGCTAGGCCTATCTAATTTACAACTTAACTTAAACTTCAAATAAAGTTATTAACTTAACATTAATTCATTAACAGAGTATTATTGAAGTGCTTTTGAAACTGCTGTAACATAGAGGGGAGCAGACAGATTATTAATTAAATAAACAGCACGAATATAATATATTTTTATTCATTCATTTTGTCCTTCAGTCTGTTGTTTTTGTTGTTTTTTCATGATGAATGATTCTATTAATATGGTTTTGAACTATTTTCTTATTGTATTAATTAAGTGTCTACTGTCAATATATTGATGTTGTATTGATGATATCTCGCCCAGGCCATACTGTGAATACAGATTTGGCTAAAATAAATGTCATCTTCTTGTTTTATGTACTGAAAAATGTTCACACTATCCAAACTATACTGGAATAACCTATCTATTAATATCAGAGAAAATATATTAAGTAGGCCTTCAACAGTTTCCTTTACATTATATTCATTTTCACTTTCTACTCACATCTGTATTTCTGCATACGTTTACGTTTCAATGGTGCACGGTATCAGAGACAGCTGCAGACATGTTTCCTTCTGACTCCTATGACTTTCTCTCAACCAATCACTAAAGAGCTCTCATTGCTCATGCCAAAAAAGAACCAAACAAACCAGCGGACGCTCTGAGGAGGCGGGAACTAGCCGGCTGAATGCGAGCCGAATGATGATGAGTTCAAGGCGTCTTGGAAATACGGGACAAACGGGACAAACCGGGACGGGTGGCAACCCTAGTTAGTGCATCGCATTAAACAACAACTGTATTTCATTTGAAAAATTTAAAAATAAAACAGATGAAAACACGTAGGGGCAACTGAGACCAGTAACTTCTCAGGAGTGTACAGTGGTAGAGAGCTTTTCTTGCCCTCCAGGTCGGCTTTCCATCACGTGAAAGCTATGAATAAGATACATTAATACAGTAGTGGATGGATATTTAAGAACCAGTTTGAAAAGAGTTTGTTAAAGCAACATGTTCCAAACACAGAGTAAAAGTCCAGCAAAAATGCTGTGTAATTTAATTTAAAAAAAAGGACTGGCCAGATTTTGCACATGTTTGAGAGTTTTAGAAAATTATTATAGACAACATTAATCACACATAAAAAAAAATGCTCTTTTATGAATTTTTGAATGTATCACCAATAAACAGTAATTGTGTTGTCCAATGCGTTCTGCAATGATGACTCAATGTTGTGTTGTTTGTGCCCCAACTGTATCATTGGGTTGAATTTTCCCACTGACTGTTTGTATTTCAGGCAGCAGCTTCAGTAAAAAAGGCAAAGAGCTGAGCGCTGAACGAGATTTCTTCATGAGAATGAAGTGCACGGTGACCAACAGAGGACGCACCGTCAACCTAAAGTCAGCCAGCTGGAAGGTAAGGAGAGAGAGATCTGAGAATGAGCCAACACTTTGCAACATCTGCACATCTATGTGTGAAATCATGCTTATAAAAAAATAAAGAAACACAACCGTTAGACTCAGGCATACAGGCATTGGATCACTGGTTTGAAACCATTTACAACATCTTGTGAAACTTAAAATGTACAGGTCCGATTTTTATCATCTTGTAAACAGCCAAATTAAGAGAATTATTTGAGGTTCTGTAATCACTTTTTTACAAGAAAAAAAAATGCAAATGTACGTACCTATCCTTCCAATAAACACTTAACTCCTGTCTCTGTTCCACTCTAGGTGCTGCATTGCACCGGACACCTGAAGATGTACACCAGCTGCCCTCCACGAGGGCTGTGTGGCTTCAAAGAGCCTCCACTCACCTGTGCTGTTCTGATGTGCGAACCAATCCCACACCCGTCCAACATCGACACGCCGCTGGACAGCAAGACCTTCCTGAGCAGACACAGCATGGACATGAAGTTCACCTACTGTGACGAGAGGTAGGCTCACACACAGGATTACAGACGCTTGTCGGGAGAGCAGTGTTTTCATTTATCACTGTTTCTATCGCTTTTTCATGAAACAGTAAAATGACTGTGCAAACTGAAATGTGGTTAAATGAGAATAGAAAATGCTAAATTGTAGAATATTGTATTGCATTACAGACGCATTCAGAGGTCTTTAAAGACATACCAGATTTTGATTATTATCATGCTTTTTATTGTTAAAAGTCCTTAGGTCAGCATTTCAAATTGAAACACATTCAGAAGTAATCAGTGCCTTAGCTTATGTCCTACAGTCATTTTCTTTTCTTTAACGAAACCAGTACTTGATTTATCGTGGCATATACTGTAGATAAGATAGTTTAATAATGCAGAACAAATCATTGCAGATTGATCAAGTATTAAGGTACAGTCGAATAAGATTCACACAACACAACAGAGCAGAGAAACAGTGAAACAATGCCTCAGAAAAAGCACAAGTTCAAGTACACATACGTTCAAAAACAGTATTCAGCAGAAGAATAAATAATGGTAGTTACATTGATTGTGGTATTGAAACAACAGCAAAATGAGCTCAATAATTCAGAGTCTGAAATGTTCAAATAGTATCTAAAGATTGATTGAATCAGAAAAAGGATTAGTGCACCCGTTGGGTTTTTAAAGAGGCAGAGTAAAGTTCAGAAGAGTTCAACAGAAGAGCAGCATCATTTATGGAGCACTGCCAGTTCAAACAACGTTTAGTGCATAGAGTTACACACACACACACACACACACACACACACACACACACACACACACACACACACACACACACACACACACTTGCATGCTACCACAAGACTTTTTGACTGATTACGTTGCTGACTGATTAGGTTTGACTTGGCAGAGGCATCAGTGAGAAATATAAGCCAGAGATGAAACATTAATACTTTAATAAGATGCTCTCACGACAGTGTCAGACCGTGCCAACTGTTTCAGATCACAGATACTTGTGTAGACAGACCTTAAAAAACAAAAATAAACACACTCCAGAGTTGTAAAGATGTCACTTCAGGCTGCTGACAGCTGACAGGAGACATGTCACTCGGACTACAGAGGGTGGCTTCCTGCTTGGAGGTTGTACACACACACACACACACACACACACACACACACACACACACACACACACACACACACACACACACACACACACACACACACACACACACACACACACACACACACTGTTTTGAGTTACACAACCCCTTGTTTGCAGACCTGTAATCTCATCAAGTTGCTCAAGCAGGACAAAGGTTACTGTTGGAGAAAAGTGAGTGTGCATTTTTTTACGCTGAGGCGTCTGTGTGTCACTGTGCTAAAAACAAGGACAAACTTTCTGTTTCCCCTGCTTTGTGTCATTTACTCGCTGCCCAAATCTTCTCTCCAATTACACAAATGAGCAAATGAGCCCAGCGAGGACTTACTGTAGGACTCATTAGAGAAGGGACAAAATGTTTCTTCTTCTGCTAGTTTCTGGCACTTTGAGAGTTTGAGTAGGAAAAGGAAAGCACAAAGAAGAATAAAAAGAGAGGGATGAGCGAAGAAGGGAAAATAGTGAAAATAAATAAAACCTCTTAGACTTAAATAACATCCAAAAATGTCCAGTTTCTTCATGATATGCATGATTGGCTGGGATGTCCCCATCTATACCAGCTGGCCCGTGCACACTTTACAAACATCAGAGTTGTTCAAATAAATTCGATGTATATGCTTGACAACTAAAGATTCTATGAAGGTAACTGCACACAAGCTGGCACATACTGTATCTAAGGTCCAAAATAAAAGTGAATGAACACTCTCACGCCAGAGTTTTTGTATTCAGAGTGCTCAGGCTTTAGCAGTGGCCCAGGCATAAATCCTGAATCCTACAGCTCGACTTTTTGCTATTCATGAATTTTTACAAGTAACCCACCTTTATAAAATCTAAAGTGAAGGAAAGGATCAGATCAGTCTCAGTTCATACAGACGATGGGCCTCATTCACCAACCGTTCTCCTGAACAAATGTATTCGTATACAGGTTTGTTACCCTGTATAAACCAGCTCTCTCAGAGCGCTCAATTTTGGTATGTGTGTCTCTTTAAATGCAATGACCCCCCCCCCCCTTCTATCTATCTATCTATGAGGCCCAGTGTTACTTATTAGAAGAATGCCTTTATATGTCCCTATACTGGTCTTTGAGATTAATTGGACATACTGTACAATGACCTTTAATGAAACTCAGTCTGGTTACAGACCTTAATGTAAATCCTAAATAATAATAATAATCATTGTATTAAAATAGTGCCTTTAATAGGACAGGATGGTATGAATACAGTCAACGAGCTCATCCTTATACACAGGACCTGATGGGGAGCAAATAGGCTACATAGTTACAGACAATAATAATCAAAAGAACAAGATACTGTAAAATGTTATTTAGATTTAGAACCAAAAGCTATCTAAAATGAATGAATGAATTTGCTAATGAGCTAATGTATCATTCTCTGCTCTACATTTTTTGTATTTTCTTTGCTCACCTCCTAAAGTCACACATTTCCCCTCATTTTGCACCTGTCACCACTTCTTTGAACCTTGTTTAGTCCACTTTGCTTGAAGATGTGCCATTCTGCTCGTCTCCTCTCTTTCATTTCCTCGGCTCCTCCTGCCGCCCTCTCTCTCCTCTCTGAGCCTGCATCTGTGAGTGTTATGTAATCTGAGGACAAGAGTCTTTTCTGCACCAGCAGACCGTCCACTCTTCTCCTCCTCTTCTCGTTCTCTGAACTTCTCTCACTACAACTTCGAACCTCGCTTTAATCTTCATCCTACTCTGACTTTATAACTTACAATTTGTGTGTATGATTAATAAAATAAAAACAGGAATTCTAGTCTGGTGATTCTTCGATCATTTTGTGAAAGGTGACGAGCAGAACTGGAAAACGTATTAAAGCAATAGTTAATTACCAGAAGGCTGTCATTTTGTTTTGTTCTCATAGTTACGAGATTTAAGTTTGTGTGTCTTTATAAACCTTAAGAATTAAGAAAGAGTAGCACGTTTAAAAATGAGTTTTTAGCTGGTTATGGAATAAGCTAAAATCAATATGATAAAGATAAAGATAAAGACCTACAAAATCAATGGAGACCATCAGCATTAACATGAGTTTTACATAATTATTTTGGAATTCCTGTAAAGAGAGACAAAGACAAAGTGATTAACTGCACCCTGCAGGAACAGATATTTGTACACTTTCCACAGCACAGGTGCTCTAAGTGAAACATTCCACTGTTCAAAGAAAGCAGGATGAGATTTTTGGTTTCAAAATACTCCTTCAAGCGGCACAAAATCAGCAAAGGGAGGAACTTGGTCCACAAGGGTCACAAAATAAATGCAACGCAAAAGTTTCTCGCAGGAGCTTGGAGCAGGATTAAAAACATCAACCAGTGTAAAATAAAACATGATTTTTTTTAGAAACCTTAATTTAACTTGATCATTATTTGTAATGGACTTTATCCTTCCTCATCAATTCAACAATCACTTAACAACTATAATTGAACACAATTTAAAAAAATAAAAAGCTAGTAATTTGTTTTTTTGTCACCATCAATATGTTTCAATGGAATTAAAATCAGTTGCTCAGTTTGGTCAAATGTTTTGAAGATTCAGTTGCACGTCCTCTAATAAAGTTTAAATCTAAAAGTCAAATACCATCGCAAACTGCTTCTTGTTCTTATGGTAGATATTTTTGTTGGACTTTCGTCCCATCAGACTGAAAGTGCAGAGGAGGCCACTTTAATTTACTCAAAGCATGATGAATTGTGTGCATTCTTTGTCCCAGTTTACCCTCTGCGGTCTCCTTAAAGCCACCAAACTGTGTGTTCACGGGGTCATTTCCTGTTGTTGGTTAGGATTATGTTCTCACAGAGCAGTTTGTTGGGAAGAGAATCTCCATTAAATCAAAATAAATGAGTGAATCAACGACCTCTTACAGGCCAAAACAACTATACTGTGATCTCCTCTCTTATGCTAAAATAACTCCTTTTTATGAATAACAACATTTTTAAGATTTTCATGCAACCATAGTGTCTCTTTTTTTGATAACCACATTACTGCTTCATGTAATTTACATGTAAAACTCATGTGTTGGATATTAACTGGGAAAGAGAAGCTGGAGAAATGAAATGAAACGGAAGAAGTGAGTTTTTTTTTTTTTTTTTAACTAAGAAGTTTAAAGTCAGCAATAAAATCCTGATTAATAAAGTGCTCATGATGAGTGTGACAGAGAGAGATAAGCTGTTCTCAGAAGCACAGAGAGTTAGCAGAAAGAGAGAGAGAGAATGTGAGCCATTCTTATTTTTGGACGACTACGCCTCTCTGTTTGATTTACAAAATCATGTGTGAACCCTTTTGAAGTGAAGAAGTAAAGGACAGAGCACAGGATTTGTCTTAATGATTACATCTAGGTAGGGCAACAACAATTGAATTGATTAGCATTCATTCCTTTACATTTCTTGTACATTTCTGTTTGTGTGTGTGTTACAGGGTTACAGAGTTGATGGGTTACACTCCTGACGATCTGCTGGGTCGTTCAGTCTACGACTTTTACCACGCCCTGGACTCTGACAGCGTCACCAAGAGCCACCACAACTGTAAGTGCACGAAACAGTCCAGGTGATCATGAAGTTATTTGCCCCAACAGAAGAGGCCCCCATGTCGTCTCAAGAGGATGAGATGACCAATCAGAGCTCTTTCATCTTGCTTATTTCAAGTTTGCAAGATTAGGGAATCTACTGCACAATTGAATCATCATAACAATCGTTTGACTGTAGTCACCTAAAACTGAGAACCATTGTGCTATTTTTTGCTTTAGTAAGAGCTCTTCATATCTACAATTCACTTAGCAGACACTTTTATCCAAAGCGATGTTCATCAGAGAGTATGGGAGATACAACACAAGCAAGGATCTTTCATTAGAATTGATTTATGTAAAAATCAAGATTCTTATCATCTGAGATTTTCTAATAGATTAATAACGTCCAAATTTTTTTTCTTCTAATCAGTATCTTACTGCTAAGTGCTAAGGCTAGCTCTTTAACTCAGTAGATTGTCAAATGGAGCGGCAAGACATTCAGCCAGTCTCACAAACGACTGGACTAGATGTACTAATTCAAAAATAGATTTTAAATCATGAATCCAGAATCGTTTTGAATCAAAAAATAGATTCTGAATCGAATCGTGAGACACCCAAAGATTCCCAGCACCTAACCTTCATATCCTCTTCCTTATGATAACATGATATTTGATATTTTCTTCTTCTTTCTGAAACAGGCTGACATGTTTCAGTCTGTGTGATAAGCTGAACGTCCTTGTGTTTTTCACTCATTAACTGATAAATGTGCTTTTAATTAGCTCTGTGATGAGGTCAAAGAAATCCCCAACATACACACTGAGATCTCAGGACTCTGAGCAGTGCAGGTGGTGTATTCTAGAGAAATAAAACCAATGTGGGTAGTTTTGCTAATAAGTTACCAATTATTATACCGCCTGATGGTGCAGGCATTATTCATTTTGTATCTTCTCCTAGTAAAGATATTGGGAAACTGAGTAGGTTAAGTATGTGTCTCTCTGTATGCATGTGTCTGAGTGTGCACAGAGCATGGGCGAGGTACTAAGATGTCTTTATTACATCAAGCTACGCCACTGATGTCCTCTAGACAGGGGACCAGGTGGCCTCTATTACAATCTAATGGGTTAGTGTGTGTCAGTGTGTGCGTGTGTGCATGTATGCATGTGCAGGCGTGTGCGTGCATGCGTGTGCTAACCGGGCTCTGAAGTGTCATGGCTTTTCTCTTCACTAACAGTATAAGTCATTAGACGCTCTGAGCAGCAGTGACAGAACAAAAGGAAAAGTGATTTGGTTCCTAAGCCAGAACATTTCTGACTCAGGAAAATAATGACACTTCTGTCCATGTGCCTACTTGTCTGTGTGTGTTGTCAGTTTGCAGTGCTGATTTATCATTGTTTATTCCTTTGAACATCTGTGTCTTAAGCAGAACAGGAACAGACTTTTGAATTGGACGTAGGGCTTCAGATTGTCAGCAGAGTGTCTGTTTTGTGTTGTATGTAGATCGGATGTTTCATGTGACTATTCTACGGTCCCTAATGGGTTGGATGAAAAGCTCTCTATCCATCTCTCTTTCTCTACGTCGACCGGCTCTCACGGCCAACGTGACCAGCCTGTCGATCAGCACATGCTAACAGCGCTGTCTGCTACATGTAACGTTGCACTCCAAACCCACACACAGACACACACACATGCAGTCACTGGCCTTGTGTACACTCTCTGACCACGGTCCTGTTTCTTTCCCACGCCAGAGCTGAACTTTGGACTGAAGCCAGAACATCTCCTTCTCAGCTCAAAAGTCAAACATCCCAGTTTCCTCTCATAACTAATGTTTTGTTTAAAGCCTTGCACAAAATAGATACATGGATATTTAACAAATTATTATGTACTCAAATAGCACACAAAAAGTAATTTCTATCTAAGAAGTGTGGCCTGATACTGATTTGTCAAGTATTGTAACTGAAGTTTTAAAATAAAAATATCTCTCTTGCTCTCCCTCTCTGTCTCTCTCTCTCTCTCTCTCTGTCTGTCTCTCTCTCTCTCTGTCTCTCTCTCTCTCACTCTCTGTCTGTCTCGCTCTCTCTCTCTCTGTCTCTCTCTCTCTCTGTCTGTCTCGTTCTCGCTCTCTCTCTCTCTCTGTCTCTCTCTCTCTCTCTGTCTCTCTCTGTCTCTCTCTCTCTCTGTCTCTCTCTCTGTCTTTGCAGTGTGTACCAAGGGTCAGGCAGTGAGCGGTCAGTATCGAATGCTGGCTAAGGACGGAGGCTACGTCTGGGTTGAGACCCAAGGAACGGTGATTTATAACAGCCGCAATTCCCAGCCCCAGTGCATTGTGTGCGTGAACTACGTCCTCAGGTGAGCAGTGACATCATCATTGTGAATACAGGTCATGCAGAATGACTCTAAAATTTGATTTTTAATCAAAAGTCGGTTGAGTTTGAATTGAATTAGTTTAGAAGGCTAAGTCGTCTAAAACAGTAAATACAATCAAAAAAGCCCAAAATCAGGCACTTTTTAGGTGCTCATAAGACTCACCAAAGCACCAAAAACCTCCAAAGGTGACTCGTTCTTGTTGACCTTACCTGCTTAGACATCTTTGCATGCTCTTTGCAAATGAAAACCCACTATCAAGACTATTGCAAATGTATCTCAATATCCACACATGACCCATCTTACTCAACCCTCCTCCTCCACTCCTGCAGTGACATTGAGGAGAAGTCGATGATTTTCTCCCTGGAGCAGACTGAGTCCCTGTTTAAGCCGCGCCACATGAGCAGCTTCTTCTCCGCTGGAGGTGCTGGTGTGACCGCAGAGCCAGGAGACACCCTCTTCCCCAAATTCAAAGAGGAGCCGGAGGACCTGGCCCAGCTGGCTCCAACACCCGGGGACACAATCATCGCCCTCGACTTTTGTTAGTATTGACCCCCTTATGAGCATTTAACTTTGTGTCAGTAGGTCAACAACAATGTACAAGGATGCATCCTGAAAAAATACAACTTTAGTGCATTATTACAACATGTTGAACTGCCAAGAAAGAGTTCAATAGTAAATAATCCTCCTCCTTTAAATCCATTTTACATTTATTTTACCAGACAGTTATCTGGTTTATAAAGCATAGGAATAATCAGTATTGTTTCTTCAGCTACCCACTGGTCAACTCCACTATGTATAAGGTTTCATGATTTGACATTTTCAGGACACCAATCAGAAACGATGAAATAAAATAGTCTATTAAAATCCAGGAAAAACCCCCTTCTTGCATAAATGATATTGGATACTTCATCTTCTCTCCACTCACTCTATCGCCTGCTTCTTTCTCGCAGGTGGCACTCAGTTTGAGGAGCCCCAGCAGCCAGCAGGATACATCCCAGTGTCCGTGTCAGCTATGCCCCCTCCAGGACCTCGGACCTGGGCCAACGAAAGCCACCAGCCTTCCCCTCCTGTGTCATGCCAAACCTCTGCTCAGGTTCAAAGAGACATGGCTAACATGGCCAGCACATTCACCATGCAGCAGAATCCATCACCCGGCAGCACTACTCCGAGCCTCAGCAGTTGCTCTACGGTGAGGACGTGAAGAACCCGAACAGTCAATTAAATTAAGTAATTAGTTAGTGAGCAAGAAACTGGCTGTGTTTGTTTCACTTTGTTCTTTCTGTGTTCAGTGAAGCTAATGGTCGCTAACTGTGTGTGAGAATAACGGGGGTGGATATTTGGATGGAACACTCACACAGTGAATAGTGCCTTTGTCAAAACTCATGTCTCAACGTTTGTTTCCATCTATCTATCTTATTCCCCGCTTTTCATTCTTCTGTGTTTTCCTTCCCTATTTCCTTTTTTTTCTACCCCTCCATCTCTGTTTCCAACCTGCAGCCAAGCAGCCCAGGCGATTACTACAGTTCATCCGAGAGTGACCTGAAGGTGGAGCTGACTGAGAAACTGTTTGCCCTTGACACTGAGTGCAACGGCGGTTCTGAAAACACTGAGGTGTGTCCTTTTTCTCTGAAAGATGATTACTCTTCTCTCTTACTGTCACTTGACTGCTCTGTGATTCGTTCATTTGAATTGCCTTATGAGGCAAATACTGGCATTACTTGTCCCCCCTTCCTTCATGGGAAAAAATGTTAATTCAAGATTTTCCCCTTTTTGATGACATCCACATAATTATTATTTAAACTTTTTGAACATTTGGTAGTCAGTTATTGTAAACATAATATTTTTGGTAGAAGTTTAAGAATATCCCTTTACAAGTTTGCTATAACCAAGTTTAATTAAAAGGCCAGAATAATCAAAGACACCTCTCAGACATTCTGGGAACTATAACTGTCTGTGTATCAATTAGGCGTCCTGTGGAGGTACAAACTGTTTAAAATTATTGTCTGAATTTGTTTCATTCAAGAGCAGAAATGAAACCATGCAGAGGCTGAAATATACTGTTAACATTTGAATTTGCCGACATTTTAACCAACCAGTTGATCTCTCTATTCCCAGAGGGACTTAAGTGACCTAGATCTTGAGACTTTGGCTCCATACATCCCAATGGACGGTGAGGACTTCCAGTTGAATCCCATCATCCCAGAGTCGGAGCCCCTCGAGGGGGGTCCTGCAGGATCCATGGGGAGCAACAGCAGCTTGCCTCAAACGCACCAGGGCGCCCACCAGAGCTTCAGCAGCATCGCCAGCCTGTTCCAGCCCCTTTCCTCTACACCTCAGGGCCAAGGTCACTACCAGCACCAGCCTGCTGCGTCCTGGGCCACAAGTGAGAAGAGGGGCTCCGGCCAGGGGACCATAGACCCCTGCATAGGGTCTTACATGATGGGGAACATGCAGCATCCCCCATACCAGGCACCAGCCAGCACCCCTCTGTCCTCCATGGGGGGCAGGCAGAACCTGCAGTGGCCACCAGACCCGTTGTTAACATACCAACAACAACAATCACGAAACACCAAGGGCTACCTGATGGAGCCTTTGTCAGGAGAGGAGAGATTGTCCTGCCAACAGAACATACCACACATGATGCAGAAACAGAGGTGATGTACAACGTTTGTGCATTAATGCATTAAACCAAGACAATGCCAATGCCTAGAAATGATTTTAATGCAAGGCGTGTGTAGTAATGCGCATGTATGTGTATATGTTCAGGTCCATTGACAACTTCGTACAAGCCTACAAAGACATAAGTCCAGCCAGAGTGGCCATGGCCAACAGTATCAAGCGCTCCTTCACCCAGATGGCTGTGGTGAGTTACTGAGAAACTACAATATGAATCATACAAATTCCAGTATTTTTAAAACTTCCAGTAGATGGCTCTAGCTGATCATTTGAGTTTTTTGTGTTATTGTGGGACACATGTGTTTAAAATGGTTAGTGTGGATCCAACACAATAATTGTTGGAGAAATAGCAGCTTCAGAGTTTGAAGCCCCTTGTTCTGCAAGGTAACAACCTGAGCATGCCAGTGGCAAAAAAAAACAAGCATTTTTAGCAATTGTATGGGCACAAATTCCAAAAGGGTTTAAACCAACAAATCATTTACAAACCAAAGCATGACAATTTAGGGTCCATGTTTAAAAATACCAAAGAAGTTCCCCAATCAAGTTTCATTTGCAAAGGGTTTCAAAAAGGGTCTAGATCCTGATGATGAAAAATTGACCAGTGTGGAACATCAAAAACATTGCGTGTTCCTCAATTGTCCGCTTGGGGCTTGGGAACCCATATTAAATGATCCATTTAACATTAGAAAAAAAAAATTTGACAGGCTGGTTCAACTAAACAATTTGGTATCAATAGCTCATTTCTCTATTGGTACACACTGTACTGGTGTGGATTGTTGTGCTCAATTTTCCATTATTAGAGGCGAGGTTGAGTTGACTGACAGGTGGTTGCTTTGTAACTGTTTGCCAAATGGCTTGAGGCCCGCCTCAGCTCTGTGTCTCTGCCTGTTGTTAGATGGATCGAAAGTTAGGTTATGATAGCATTTCCAACATGGCAACTGCCACCTTTCAGCCTCAAAACTGCCCTTTAGAAACCAATGGTTAACATCACTGAGAAATGTTAACAGTCTATGTTTGGAATAAATGGATATTTCAGTCTTCTCATGGTAAACAGACACTGATTGAACATGTGTATTGCAGTTTCATGTCAGAAACGGGAACAGTAATTAATCAAAATGTTAACAGAAATAAAACAACAATGAAACAGCTTCATCTAGTTTAGCTTTAGCTTGTTTTGAAATTATTAGCTTAATATTAGTAAGTAATAGAGAACATTCTACTTGATCTGATTATGATGAAAGACAAAGCAGGGTCTTTTATATTCAGGGTCTTTTTTCACAACAAAAAAAAAAGCAGCACATTAAGAAGCCATGTGTTTGTGTTCCAGGGTGAAAATAAACCTTCAGACGTCATGTGGAAGAAGATGAGGGGGGACAGTTTTGGCAGCATGGATCGCTCCCTCAGTGCCGGATCACTGGCAGGTACGAGCTCCCACTTTGTGTTACAGTGCAACATGTCTTACATTACCATCTCTTCCACCCAACAACCGTTTGTGTACCTTACTCCATCTCAGATTTAGGGCTGGAGAGGATGATGCCAGGCAGTATGTCTTCATGTCTGCATCAACACAGGAAGTCTCAGTATCCAGCAGCTGGGATAGGTGGTGTTTTTGAGAAACACCTTTCCCAAAAGAGCTGCAACTATTCCCAGTATAACAAGACTGAGGGTGAGCTCAACTACCTTCAATGTATTTTATTAAGGACAAAAAATAGTTTCTTTAACATCACTGTATTTTTACCCTTACAGTGATTTTCAGATTTTCACTGAAAAGATTAACTCCTTTAATTTCTGGGAGAATATTTCATTTCACAGAACATGTTATGATAAGCTACTGACTGTTACTGATACCTGCCTGTCCAGCTGAAGTGAACCCTAGACAGATTTGGTTAATTTTTCTTTCTATTTCTGCCATTTTCCAGGTGTTGCCAGTTGTTTACTGGGCACTTCCTTCGAGTCCTCCTACCTGCCGGAGTTGACCCGTTACGACTGCGAGGTCAACGTCCCTCTGCAGGGGACCCTGCACCTCCTCCAGGGGTGTGACCTGCTGAGAGCTCTGGACCATGCCACCTAGAGCCCCGATTCCGTAACCTGTTTGCAGCCCTAGACTTAAGCCTTTCTTTACATTAATACCTCTGGGCCCTCTGAGCGCCATGAGGCTAAGCTACCTATAGGGAATGGTATTCATAACCACATCCTGCCTTATTTAGCTTATTTGCCTCAGACCCACAATCTGTCCCCTGTTTCTTCATAGCTTTGTACATAGACCATCTACACAAGCTGATATATCAGGGTTAAGCCACTTACACCCCTCATTAGCGAAGCTTTGGACACCAATCAGAGGCAGGTTGAGTGTACAACAAGTATACAAAAGTTGCCCTACATTGAAAATAAGATATTGGTTACTCAGTGTACAAGATGTACACAGGACAAATACCTATGTGCAAAATGTTGCAACACTCTGTCTGCCCTGTGACAAAAAGCTGAATTTGGGTATTCGGTGTAAAGGGGTAATATTGCAGTGAGATTCAAACACATAACCTGCCTTAAAGTTGTCACAGCTGCAGCCATTAACCTGTAGAGGCCACAGCCAGGCGAATGATAGGTTTGAATACAAGCTTCAACCAAGTCTTACCCTAGACCTAGTCCAGGTCACAGACCCCTCACCCTGATATGTTCTCTATGCAGCTCAGTCCCCAGCCCAAACACCTTTTCTTTATCAGCTAATCTTTTAGCTCTGAAGAGAAGGCACTATACTACCTACATATTAACAAAACCAGCACTGTGTTTTACTTTGTGATCAGCATTTAGGCCCAGTCTACTTTTTCTCATTTTAACTAAAGCGTTGAGGAACAGTTGGGTATCATGAACTGGTTCTGAATTTTAACCATTTTTGAAAATAACAGGAATCATCAAAACATGAATTCTGCTTATGTTTGTCCCTTCCAAAAGATGCTTTTTAAATTACTGCGGTGCAATACGTTAAGCTCAATGTAGCGATAGTTCCAAATAAGATTCCAGGTATTAATTATTAATGTTGTTTTACTTTTTTTACTTTTACAGCATGAGGCTGATAGCATTAGTTTACAAATGTATTGGATAATGATCACCTTAAGTCAAGAATTGTTGATCCAATTTTTTTATCGCATCGGCAGATTTTTTTTTCTTTACATCTATTGGTTTTATTTAATTCTCCAACAAAAGCTAAGAACCAAAACTGAATGAGAGTGAATGAGCACAATCAGGACCGAAATGATACCCAACTCTGCTCAGGCCTTTAAATAGGACCGACACAAACAGGTCATGGGCCTGCCTCTTCTCACCTGAGTCACTTTATCATAATCACTGATGTGTTTAAGTAACAGCAGAGTGCAGTGACTTCATTCAGTCAGACTCTGATTCTCACAACTTTCACAGTTTGGGTCAACTTTAATGATAAATAAATTCTTATGTTTTGTTCAGTTATTATATATTCTAGTTTTCTGTCATTGAATTGAAGCAGTGTCGCTTTTATTAGAGCTCCTCATGTTATTTAATCTAAGCTGACGGGACACTTTACTTTATCAATACTGCTTTGTTTCTCCTCTTTGGCTTATTTCTATATTTTTACTCCACCCTACCAGATTCTTATTTTTCATGTCTGACTCACAGACTCACTAATAAATATATATTGCATTACATGTACCTTACTGTAACTTAATTTTTTTTTTTTTTCTATCTTTTTTTGTTAAATCTGTCAGTCAGGTAAGTAGCTTGTGTGACTACAGGGTTTTTTCTTATCGTGCAATTATCTTATTGAGCTTAAGCCTCTATAGTCAGCAGCAAAGCTAGCTGTGTTCACCAAAATGCATAGCTTGTACATAGAATCAGACTTACACACATTAAAAGAGTTTTGATATTGTAGACCCACAAAGACACTTCTCAGAGTACAGTAAAGCAGTGGTGTGAAAGGACCATCCAAGGGTCAGGGGTAAGGCACCGATCCTACAAGTAGGTTTCATTTTTATGTCAATTTATTTCAGTACAACTGTAGAGTTATCAACTTTGCTGTCAATTGCTGAAGACAGAATATGAACTTTTAAAAACAAAAAAGTACTCTAACCCAAAATACCATATAATATACTGTAGGTCTTTAGCTGCCTACCCCTGATACCAACCAAGAACGTATTGCCGTGAACAAGTGTCACTACAAATGGCAACATGTCCTCATACCTGCAGTTTTAGTGCCAGACTGTCACCTGGAACATGTGGTTAACATTGAGAAATTGTCACAGTTTTTTAGACAGCAAAACAACCTTGAGAAGTTTAGAGTTTAGATCATATGTTGGTCATAATACAAATGTAGGTTGCATTGCAAATGTTACCTACACAATTTAAGAAGTCACACAATGCCTGTAGGTTTCACAATGGACTTGAACCCTAGGCTCCTGTCTTCAGAAAATCCCATGTCAGATTACCACATTTTTGTATTGTTTCTCCTGTAGGAACTGCTTAGGCCCTAGAGATAGTTGCAGATCCTAAACCACAATAAAGTGGTTTTAAAAATGTAAAGTTTGTCCGATTTGTATGGAAGTCTTTAGAAGGCTCCTTTAAGCTACATGGAGGACATTAAGTGGGATTTGAAGGTCGTTTTGGCCAATCACAGGGGCGAATTAGATGTGCAATAGGGGGGGTTGAAAAAAAAAAGGCATTCTGTCTGAACTGAGTAATAAGTATTTCTGCTCATCAGAACCAAAGAATAGAGCAGTTCTAATAACTTTGATTTCCTTTGGCTTGATATTAGGGCAAAATGTAAAAATATAAAAAATAAAGGCTTCTTAAGCTTTTAATCAACACAGGCCATGATGGTTGCCCCCAACCCCAACCCATTGTCTTTTGACACCACTGCACAAAGCAGGCAGTGTAAGGTCACATGACAGCATAGAAGTGCATGATCACTTCCTCTTTCACACTACAGTATAAGATGTATATAGCAGCATTAGCATTAGCATTAGCCTTGGTCTGAGTGCAGCACAGCAGCCTGGGAAGTGACTTTAATGTAGAGTGTTTGTATAATTTGTAAGGATAATAGGACAAGGCCAGTTTTTGTTATAATTAGATACACTGCGGCTGCCAATATTAAAAAGCTTTCAGTTGAGTATTATTAGTCAAATTAATACACGATGGACTAAGGCTAAGGTCAGATCATTTTTCAAACTACAAAATCTAATGTTCATCAAAATGATGTCAGTAATATAATCAACAGTATGCCTTCAGTGAAAACACTTGTTTCCCTCTCTTCTCTCCTATCCTGTGCTCAAAGTGTTTTTCTTTTTTTTTTTATTCTCATTTTTTGAGGTTAATGTCATTGTGTGGTGACCACTTTTCTGTATCACTTATAGAGCTTTGTACACATATAAGTTACGTATTTAAAAGAAGACAAAACTAATGTTTCGGATAATGTTTTAAGTGTTTATGTGTCCTGGTACTTTGTCCTTATCTAAACCCCCTCATTTTATGCAGATGGATCAAATCCCTCACAGTGCTGATTCCTCTCATGCTGTTTCTGTTTCTGTGTCGTGGCATTTAGTTTTTAGTTTTTTAGTCTGTTGGATGGGCAGTACTGTTTTTAGTTCATGCTTTTAAGAAGATAAAACAACAAAAAATAAAAAATAAATAAATAAAAAAAGAGTTTAGATTAAAGATGAGTATCAGTTTTCTAAGTTTCACTTTTAAGATATGTAGCATTTGGTTGAAGAAGGTGGAGTTGCCACATCATTAATCACATAGTTTTCAAGTTGCATTATGTAAAGCAATGGTGCTTCACTGACTATATAAGTGTTTTTTTTTGTTTTGTTTTTTAGAACTTTTATTGCAGCTCTCGGATCCACTAACACTTTATTGTAACGTTCTCCACTTTATGTTTTTGCTGAAATAATCTTTAAAGGTAATATCCATCCATACAATGTGCCTTATCATGACTTTTTGTCTCAACATGAACTAGTCAACCCTTCAAGTGCACAGCTTGTTCCCCGTCAACCAGTAGAAGACTTACATCAACTCTCGGGTCTATTTTGAAATTAAATCCAGACGTGACATTGTTTATGTGAGTTAATTGAAATTTGTAAAGAGGAAAAGAAAAAGAGCAAGAAATACAATTTATGAAATTTGATGATTGTTGTCAGCTTGACGCATTGACTACTTCTTTAGGTGGAAAATCTGAAAAACATTGAAAATTGTGGACACAATGTCACAGTTCAGGCTGATTTTCAAAAGAACCCCGTTAAGTTTCGTAGTCCACAGCTCCTTCATAGCCTACTTTGATTTATTCATTTAGATCCAAATAAAACAGCAATGTAATTAAGGATAATAGAACAAAAGTTGAACCCGGTTAGAGTCCATCATAGATCTCCTGGTGATGATGAGTCAAAGTTTGTTTAAAAGGTCTTGAAGGGAATGGATTCACCAGCTCATCAAACGACCTGACAGTCGGTTTGTTGATGGAGCTGCTTGTTGGTTCTTAGGATTAGTTGAAAAATATTGATCATACAGAAGTAGTTATCCTGGGAGGGTCAGGATTCAGAGGTCAAATATAACGGGTGCTTTGCTTGCATATTGTGCTTGAATCAAATTCTCAAGTGGATTTAAAAAAAAAAGTTGGGAACATTATCAGGCCAGGAGTTGATCCTTGAACACAAACTAAAGCCCTGTTAATGATTGAAAATTGAATATAGGCAGTGAAATAGTTTGAACAGTTCTGAACATATGGATAGAAACGATGTTGAGTTGAGTGACACATCAAGAGAGATGCATCCTGCTCAGCCTGCCCACTGACGCAAATCTCTCAACTTCTGTACTCGACAGAATCTCTCTTATGTTCGAGCTCTTAGCAGACCTCTCATCGCCTTATTTAAAGACTCAGGAGCACAACTTGTTTTCTGTCCTGATAATTCAGCTACAAAGTTTGACGTTTTTTGAGCAACAGTTCTCATTTCAATTGAAAACCTAAAATGTAATACTTTTTATTACAAGATCATGTATAGTATAATATTTTGAAATGTCTTGTGTTCTACACTGTGATAAATTACAGGGTAATATAGAATTATCACTTAAGTTCTGGAAAACCAAGACGTTTAGCGCTATATAAAATGTTTTGAAATATGCACATGGAAGGAGAACAGCACCTCAGAAGGACTTTTTAGCAAATGATGAGATTTAATCAAATTGTGTTTATGTATGTGTAAAGAGTTGGCTAGATGGATGTTGAATTTTAAAAATATAAATTATGGCAGAGAGAAAGCCCCGCCCCTTTTTTTGCTTCTCCTTTAAATTCACCGAGATGATACACAAATGTATCATTTTTTCATTGCGTCATTCTGAACCAAAAAATAACATTTACATGTTAGCATTCAAATCTACACTTTTGTGAGTGTTTTAGCTTAATAAGAGATTCATTCATTTTTTTTTAGCTATGCACTTATCCATAAATGTGTGACCAATTCCTAGGGATTTGTATAAATTACTCAGAAAGAGAAAAAATTACAACTTTTTGAATTTAGCATTGAAGCTAAGCTAAAAAAAAAAGGGGGGGGGGGGGGCGTGGCTTCAGCTCTGTATTTTAACTCTAGACGGCCTATCACCAGTCCCAATAGTGCAAAACAAACTGTGCCGCTTGAAGGGTTTCCCCCAAATCAAAGGGGATTAAACGTTTCAGGTTTAATCCACTCAGTCATTGCTCTTCCTCTTTAAAGACGATATCAGCATTTTGTCTCGTGTCTTTTGTAACAATGGGTTTTCCTCTTTTTCCTCACGGGATCCATGATCAGCTACTTGTTTCTGTTTTTGTCATACAGTACAGTTATTAGCTGATTCTGCTTTTTTTATAGGTTTAATATCTGTAATGCTCTTGTTATTATCATATATTGCTATCATTGTTATTGTTATACAGGGACTTATGCCCGATAAGAAGTTTGTTTTTCTGCACTGATATCTTATTAATAAAGCATACTGATCTTAACCTCCTTTGCTGTGTCATGTGTGGCTTATCAAACATTCTCTAAAGAGATTTTCATCTTTAGCTTCTGGACTTGCAGCGAAATGTTCACTGATATTCTCATTCAGCATTTTTCTAACTCTCAATCAACCACAACCAAAAATGGAAACACTTTAAAAAATGATTTACTAAAAACAACAAATGTAATTTACAGTAAGATGTAGGAAAGGGTTTTATTTAGCTTGATACAAAAAGTTTGTTTCTCTTCCTAATCCAAATGGAAGGAGATACATAATAAAACAAGGCACTTCCTCATTCCATGGTTAAACTGGATCCCCATATTAACAATGATGGGAAATCTGGGAAACAAAACACTGGCAGTGGAAGAAGTGCATGGTAGTTTATAGTCTGGTGCCACGGTGCCAACATTTCCTGAGGTCTGAAGGGAACTGGAGAATAAACACTGGCAAAGGATGTGGTAGTATAGTCGAGTGCCATCAGATCCTAAAACCTGATTATCAGCCAGCATTCATAAACCTGATGACATTTTTGTGCTCGTTCCTTCCACTGCAGGAAGACATGAACACAAACCTTATTGCCAAAACAAAAGGGGTGTGTGAGACACTCAGGCAGAGATAGGTCAACACACAAAGCCTGCTTCCCTCTTCTTTCAGCTTTTGTTTCAGGTGAACCTCCATGATTCAGGAAATCATGGAGGTTAAATGGAACAAACAGACTGTGTGAAAATGTGCTTGACTTCCAAACTACAAATATTGTTGAGGGACTTAATTGGACATTATAATGAATGGACAGACATGATGATCAGTAATATAAAATTATGTCAAAGTTCTTCATCCACTCACCTGCATGCACGCGAGCACGCACACACACACACACACACACACACACACACACACACACACACACACACACACACAAACTTGTGTCTGGCTGCATGGATGAACACTGTCCACAACTTGCAGTTTTTGTTCTGTTAAGTTGATTATACTCCATTTTTCATTTTCTTCACATAGATTTGGGTGTTAGCGGTCAGCACTTCCTCCCACTGAAGAGACTAGAGATAATAAAAAGGATTGCATCAACCACCAAAGCAGAGCAGAATTTGAAATACATCAATAATGATATATGATACAAACAAAATAACACTTTTATAACATTATTATAAATTAACTTACATAGGTGAGAGGTGTAATACCTGAGCCTTATTAACTTAAAGATGCACTATGTAGATTTGGTGGTGAAATTTGAAAGTTGGAGAAGAGAAACAAATCTATGCTATATTTTCTGAACTAAATACACAAACTTTACTCAAAGAAAAAATGGGTCCCTGGAACACTGTTTAGAGCTAAAAAACTACCAGGAGAGTTACTATAGTGGGCCTCCTCCTCCATAACTTCTCGAGTAGCATTTTATCTTCAAACAGTGTTACAGGGAACAAACTTTCCTCTGATGACAGTATGTGTAGGCTATAGAGGTATGAACATATCCCACAGAATATGTACATTTTTTTAAACTTTCACATTTCTCTACCAAAACTACATAGTGCACTTTTAATTAGTGACTTGATAACTCTTCATCCAGTGAGGAGTAGATCTCTGTTCCCCAAACATAGATTATCCTCTGCAAGGTGTTTGTTAAAAGCCTATCATTGGGGCAGAAACAGTTTATAACTTTGAAATAGTGTCGATTCTCAAAGAATGTTCGAAACAAGGTGGCGTTTACCTTATTATGACAGTATTGCTGTTTTCTTCTGTGCCACTAATTCCCAAAAAGGTGATATGTCTTTATCCCGTGTCCTCAGGATATAAAACTTTTGGCACTAGAGACAAAAGGGGTCTATAAGATTAACTTTATTGATCCCTGCAAGGGGAAATTTCAGTTTTTACACTCTGTAAGTCATGAACACACACGTAAGCTGAAATATACGCACACATGCAGAAACAGGATCCTATGGACATGCACTAATGGAGAGAAGCCAGAGTAATGGAGTGGCCCACTGCATTCCTGAGCTGATGGTGGGGAGGGGGTTTGGTGCCTTGCTCAGGGGCACCTTGGCAGTGTTCAGGAGGTGATCTGGCACCTCTCCAGCTACCAGACCAACTTCCATATTTGGTCTGCACCAGGACTTGAACTGGTGACCCTCCGGATCCCAACCCAAGTCCCTACAGACTGAGCTACTGCTGCCCACTTTGTACTAGTTGTATGTGTGGAATGCTTAAAATCAAATTTTTATGGTTGTTTTATGCTGTATTTGGACTAATAGATATTTTTTCTTTTTTCTTACCATTTTATTAAAACTCTTTTACAGTCCAGTACACCCGCATATCAGCTTCCCAGCCCATTACATAATCCTCATTACTCTGTGCAATTCATCGTCACTGTGCAAAAAACAGATATCCACACAGTCCTCGACGTAAATGGCATACTTGTAGACACATCTGCACCTGTGCTGGAACCATCTGAGCAAAGAATCAAACAAGACCTGCATGTTTCCATTAGCGTTAGTTTAGTAGGGGGTAACTTTGAAACAACACAGAGAATGTTAGTACATTTGAGTAAGGCTCAAGACAAATGCTGTACAGACTATTGCTTCTACTATAACAATCCTACATGTGTCAAGTTTTAATGATGAATAAATACATTTATTTTTTTATTTTTTTACTTTCAATACTTCCAAGCAGAGTAATTAGCTTATTTAGCTTTAAATAAGCCAAAAAACCACAGTGTTACTATTGAGAAGTACTGGAAGAAAACCAAGAAAACAAGCTCCTCTGCCTTTCTGTCTACTCGGTTGCTTCCTGTCCTTTGGGGCCTCAGAATGTCTCCGGACAATTCTCCAACAAGCTGATTTCAGGGACAGTTTGTTTATGTTCTGGTCCGATCCCCGGACACTGAGCTGCTTGGACTGAGATTTATCTCTCAACGCAGCTCGAATCTGTAAATTATAAACAAAGATCCAGTTTCTCATGTTGGAATCAGAGCTATTTATATTTGTATATTAACATTTAAGCATCATGACAAGGTCTTTTGTAGATTTCTTTGTGCATTTGGATAGCACTGAAATGGGCAAGGGCTGTGGTAAATTAGAATTGAATGGCATCTTACTTTAGTTCCATGCATTAATTCAATAATTTTCATGTATTCTGTTAGATTTAATGTCTAGTATATATGACACTTATCAAAGTTATAAAGTTGTCAGTGTGAGTCCTCATGCTTAACAGTTAGAGCTTTCTTGAACGTGCAATCAGTACTTTTATGACCAGAGCAGAGACCGCCATGAAGAATGTTCAAAGTCTCTGTGATTAGTGAAGTTGGGATTAGCTCTTTCTACACAACTGGCTTTCATTGTGCAGTCTGAGCTTTTCTGCTAATTAAACTAAGTCATTACAAAATACAAGCATGGCGACAAGAGATTCTTTTGCATTTTCCCTTTGACATGTCTGAGGTAAGATCTTTTTTGTTCTTGTGGTTAACATATATAACACTAGTAGAAAGAACATGGTTAAAAGTTCTTTGGCTAAAACATTTTTTTCTTGACTGAGATGTGTTTTTTTTTAACACCTCCATTCCCTGTGTTAGTTGTCCGAGCCATTTTGCTGGCAACAGAAAAAGTAGGCTGCACACCATAAAGAAAGTGGAAGAGGAGTTTCTGTGTTTGAACTGTTAAGTGGTTGTCTTAAGAGGGAGGTGCTTTTAACTCCTGGACCAGTGGGTCCTATTGTTAGAGGGAAATCTGTGCCATAGCGTTATTATTATGTTACTTTTCACCTTTATGTACAATTTTCCATTGATGCAGATCCAACTCCTACAATTTCCTTGTCCTGTGGCAGTGAGGTCATTAGGGACTTGTTTGTTTGTTTTTGTTTTTTTGACTGAGAAGTGGACAATAAATAGTTTATAATGATAAATGGATTACAGCTAATGTATTATCTTTGGTGCCGGGGAGGCCATGGCACAGAGTTCTCTTTCACATGTGGACCCATATTTCTCTGTGGGAGTCTGATGATGACACACTGAGGTAAGCTTTTGTGCAAAATGTCTGTATAAAAGCACAATTCAAGAAAAGTTCCTACAATAATGAAGGATTTTGCAACACACAAATCACATTGACCATTGCTTCAGGCCCAGTCATTCACTTGAATCAATGTGTCCAACATATTGGCATTTGTATTCATTTTAGTTCCAAACCTGTCTGACTTGTTTGAGAATGTCTGCCAGGTTTTGGAGATAATTCTCCAGTTGTCCTGTTGAAATCTTTCAAAATAAGGTCCAAATGTGATGAGGTTTTCAGACAGACCATTGGGCATTATTTTTGAATTGACCATTGCAAATGTTTTCTTAGGGATTCATTTGCCAGTATCCATTTGGCATGTCCATGGTAGAGAAAGATTGAGCACCAGCCAGTGCAACACCAACTCTGAGGCGCAGATGTGCATAAGTGATGGTAACTTTATTTAGTTTCTTGAATCAATGGAACATCTGTATCTGTACTGTCTTCATTGAGATTATGAGCTTTAAGCTTCTCCACCTGACGTCACTAAAGTTCATGGTATGGTATGATATGGTATATGGTATGGTATGTCATGGTGTGGTATGGTATGGCATGGCATGGCATATGGTATATGTATATAGTATATGGTATGGTATGGTATGGTATGTCATGGTATGGTATGTCATGGTATATGGCATGGTATATGGTATGGTATATTGTATGGTATGGTATGGCATATGGCATATGGTATATGTATATAGTATATGTATGGCATGGTATATGGTATGGTATATTGTATGGTATGGTATGGCATATGGTATATGTATATAGTATATGGTATGGTATGGTATGGTATGGTATGGTATGGTATGGTATGGCATGGTATGTCATGGTATTGCATGGTATGGTATATGGTATATGGCATACGGTATTGTATATGGTATATGGTATATGGTATGGTATGGTATATGGTATGGTATGGCATGGTATGGCATGGTATGGTATGGTATGGTATGGTATGGTATTGTATGGTATGGCATGGTATGGTATATGGTATGGTATGGTATGGTATGGCATGGTATGGTATATGGTATATGGTATGGTATATGGTATGGTATGGCATGGTATGGCATGGTATGGTATGGTATGGTATGGTATTGTATGGTATGGCATGGTATGGTATATGGTATGGTATGGTATGGCATGGTATGGTATATGGTATGGTATGGTATGGTATGGTATGGTATGGCATGGTATGGTATGGTATGGTATGGTATTGTATGGTATGGTATATGGTATGGTATATGGTATGGTATGGCATGGTATGGCATGGTATGGTATGGTATGGTATGGTATGGCATGGTATGGTATATGGTATGGTATGGTATATGGTATGGTATGGCATGGTATGGCATGGTATGGTATGGTATGGTATGGTATGGCATGGTATGGTATATGGTATATGGTATATGGTATGGCATGGTATGGCATGGTATGGTATGGTATGGCATGGTATGGTATGGTATGGTATGGTATGGCATGGTATGGTATATGGTATATGGTATGGTATATGGTATGGTATGGCATGGTATGGCATGGTATGGTATGGTATGGTATGGTATTGTATGGTATGGCATGGTATGGTATATGGTATGGTATGGTATGGCATGGTATGGTATATGGTATGGTATGGTATGGTATGGTATGGTATGGTATGGCATGGTATGGTATATGGTATATGGTATGGTATATGGCATGGTATGGCATGGTATGGCATGGTATGGTATGGTATGGTATTGTATGGTATGGCATGGCATGGTATGGCATGGTATGGTATTGTATGGTATGGCATGGTATGGTATGGTATGGTATGGTATTGTATGGTATGGCATGGTATGGTATATGGTATGGTATGGTATGGCATGGTATGGTATGGTATGGTATTGTATGGTATGGCATGGCATGGTATGGCATGGTATGGTATGGTATGGTATGGTATGGTATTGTATGGTATGGCATGGTATGGTATATGGTATGGTATGGTATGGCATGGTATGGCATGGTATGGTATGGTATTGTATTGATATGTACCTCATACAACCCTGCTTAAAAAACAACTATCCTTTTAGGGATATGCCGCTATGGAACATATTTGAGGGTGAGAATAAACAACCTCGTTGGAATATTTAATGGAATAACATTGAAGCCATCATGTTATGGTGACAATCAGAATTGTCTTGAAAAAATAGGTAAAACTGGACTCTTGGTTTCCACCAGGCAACAGTTCATAAGAAAGAGCAAAACCAAACAACCGTTGCTGTAAAATGACAAACATATGTGCCAATAAATAAATAACAAAGCGTATGGGGTAGGCATGCCCTTTTTGTAAAGAGACTTGAGTTACCTTTTTATTTTATGGATTATAATAAACAGTGTTAAAGATTGATCAGTCCCCTTTTACTGTCAGGAGAGAAGACCCTCTGTGACAGTCACAATTTGTTGATTGCCTTTATATCTGCCTACATTTATTCTTGAAACACCCTGGTTTGACCTTTTCTCCATCCGAATCAATCACTGCTCATGAATCAATGGACATGAATTGGTGACGTGGACTAAAGTAGGATCAGCTTGTATTTGCCCTTCTCTGGAACAGCAACACAATGCACAACTTACATTATATAAATATTGAACAGTCTTATTGTCCCAGGTCTTTGTATTTATAAAGGAGTTCATCCAGAAACACAATTCTTGGCCAAATTAAACCTCTTCAGCCCAGAATTGTGTTTTCAGCAATTGTTCTGATCGAGGAAGCACGAACACAAAGAGCTTATGCAATAATTACTCCATACTTTTCACTGTTTGACCCCTTTAGAGTCCAGTTTGGTGGAAAAAGGACAGAAATAAGCCTTTTGATGGGACAGGATGGAAGGAATTGCAGTGAATATCCACTATTAAAACATAGAAAAACATACATATTGAGAAGAAAGGACATCCTTCTTGGATAGAAAATAAACAATTTTTTCTCAAAAATGCAACTTCTGGTCTGGATACACAGAGACAGAGACAAACGTTTATTATTTCTGTTCGAGTTTCTCAGTTATGCAACTGTTGAATAGTTGTGGGACAGGAATGTTCCAAGCTGTAATTTACAGAACTTGAAGTTTAGACTCACACCGAACAAATACAATTGTTAAAAATGTTAAACTTTAAGTGACTTTTTAACAGCGCCATCCTGACATCTGACTGTCCAATATTGTTTTTTAAGTTTATGTGCTTTGCAAAAGGAAAAAAAGTCGAACAAGTTCATGAAAATGGCTTAAAATCTATGTTACACTGAACTTACTGACATAATTGACTGATACCTGACGTGACGGATAGTTAAAAAGAATTCAGTGGCTGAAGGTGGTGAGTGGTGGACTTACAAACAGACAGTTCAACAGGTTTAGTTTGGCGTTTGGAGAAATTTGAAGAGTAATGACAAAATAATCCTATAAGGCAACCATGTTTCAGCCCAGGATTATCAAATAAACTAAAAAAAAAAAAAAAAAAAAAAAGGATGGATGGAATGAAATGAAAAAGGTTTTGCCATCTCCAAATGTTTTCTTAAGAGACTTGTATTTGATTATTAACTTTATCTTTCCTAGCTCTCAACCCTCTTCTTCTTTTCTAAAGTAACAGCTTTGAGTCAATTCAGTCTCTACCAAATGCAAACCACACATCAGAAAAACCCTATCTTGATTTGGTGAATGTTTTCCTTCAGAGGACTGTTGTCTGTCCATGCTTCTTGCAAGTGAAGTTGTGCAGAAACTCTCGCTGTCTTTAGTCCTTTTGCGAGGGTTCACATAAACTCTGCATTTGAGCACTTCAACAATATGATATAATGTCAGCATTGCTGTCGACTCGAGCTTGCAAATGTCAACCTTTATTGTCCTGTTACTGATAAAGTTAGAGAAAACAGACTCATTTTAACACAGTTTCTAAATTATTTTGATTTTGCTTGTGGAAAAGCATTTGTTTTAAACTCTCTGACAGCCAATCTGGAGAATCTTGAGAAGCATAGCTAGACTAAAACGGTGGCTTTAAATGGTCAGCCAACTGCTTAACCTTGCAGAGAACGGCTAAAAAATATGTGACAGAGCAAAGTTATTCAGTAAAAACAATTGGATGGAAAGTGCCAGCTACTTTAACTTTCAGACATTTGGAGTCATGACCAGCATGCTTAAGCCCAAAGAACAATTTGTTCTGTGATTGAGACAACATCTCCAGATGGTTTAGAATCGGTAAGCGTGAAAATATATTAAAACATGTACCATGGTTCTGTTATTCTTTCTTGATTTGACAATCTCAGCCCTGAAATACAATATGTATATGCTTTATTTTAGTGAAATATTCTTTCGCTCAATTGTTGATTTCTGTTGTTATCCAGATGTGAAACACTGTCATTTTCTGCTCTGTTGATTAAGAAAAATATTCTAGTCAGGCTTTGTTTATCAAATATCAAATGCTAGATGCCACAAAATGCCCAATCCTTGATTTCAATAATCTCAAATCTGAGGTCCTTTTATTCAATCCACTACACCTTACCTGTGTCTTTAAAATAAGTCTTTGCAGCCTCTGAGCTTTGCTTTGACATAAGTGTCACCGAAAGTCTTCATTTGGCCCACTTTGTATTTATTATCTTTCTAATGGAAATATTGGAAGGATTGGAAATATCATCCCCCTGACACCTAGAAGAGATTTTTATGATGAGAAAGATGTACACATTTTCTCATATATTGGCTCCAATGATAACTACCGTATTCTTTAGAAGTATTGTGTATAGCTTTTGGATACCTGATTTGCATCTACCCTCCTCTCCATCTGACAGGGAGGAGGAAACTAAATGAACTGAATGACATTTGGAGATTTAAACGAGAAATAGTCCAAAAGGTAACAAAGATAACATTATGCTGTGTTTTTATATCGCCTGAGGACACATCTGTGGGTGTTAAACAAGTCTAATGGGTAATCTATTTCGAAACATTTGGATGTCCAAAGGTGATGTAGCAGTTAATGATCAGGCTGCTTTGATGATAAATGCAGTATGGTGAAAATAGAACTCTGCAGAGGACAGGTCCTTCAGTGCAGAGGTTCATAGTGCCTCTGTCTTTTGTAGTTTTTCATGCAGGTGAGTCATTTTTTTAGTGGCACAAACTGCATCATGTTTTGCTTCTCTCAGCTTTAGAGCACTTGTTCTTTCAGGAGCCATAACGCTGGTGAAGATGAAGTTCGAGAACATCCTGGAGGAAGTCAACGGTTTTGGGCCTTTCCAAATCTTCATCCTCTTCCTGCTGTGGACTCCTCGAATCGTTCTGCCCTGTCACTTCTTACTGAACATCTTCATAGCAGCGGTGCCTCCTCATCACTGTGATATAAGTAAACTCGCTGATGGAGGACTCTTGGAAAATTTAACTCAGGAGCAGAGACTGTCTGTCAGTGTTCCAGTGAAAGAAGATGGAGGCCTTAAATCCTGTGAGATGTTTGCAGAGCCTCAGTTTCAGCTCTTAGCCAACTCCTCTGACACGCTCCACAACACTGACATGCAAATTGTTCAGTGTCAGAGTGGATGGGTTTATGACAACTCCACCTTCACATCCACCCTGGCGACAGAGGTACAATTCCCGACAACCAATTTTTTTTAATGATCTTTTAATACCCCTTTTATGCTGGCTACTTCACACATTTACAGAGACACACTGTTTCTTGATCTGCTCAAAAGATAAATAATTGGAATTGCCTCTTCCATAACATATTCACATTTTTACATATTTCACACCAGCCAGGGTTAGGGTTGTCCTGGTTTTGTTGTGTTTATGAGTTATTCTTTTTTTTTTATAAACACAGGTATCTGAATTGATAATCTAATTGGCTTTTCTCTGTGATCTGCTTCTCCAGTGGGACCTTGTCTGTGATAGAAAAAGCCTGACAAAAACCACAGGCACAATCTTCTTTTTTGGTGTGATGATGGGAGCCATAGCTTTTGGATACCTGTGTGATAAGTATGTGAAAACAACTTTCCAATGTTCAATCAAAAAGTGAAAATGAGCAAGTTAACATTTGAATCGATGGCTAGAGAAATAATACTTTTAACGCTCCTGTAGATACATCTAATGTATAACAATAATAATTTAATGAGAAAGGCATCTGATGGGTGCTGTGGAGGAAAATTGACTAATGATGGATAACCTATAGTAATAAATTCAGTCATTAACACTAGAAAGACCAAGGCAGTCATTTTGACTGTTTTTTGATTTTGCAATGTAATAACTTACTTAAAATAAAACCTATGTAACTGCAGGACCATGACCTTTCCTAAATGTGTCTATATTTTATTCTAGCATTGTTATTTTATCAAAAACACAAAACACAAAATAGTTTTAAGTATTTCTACCTTGAAAGTCCATAGTGGTCATATTGACTGCATGCATTATAGCCAGTGTATCATTTCAGTATTTACTACTTTTTCCCACTCTTGAAGGTAGAGGTGGGCAATATGGGAAAAATATCATATCACAATTTTTTTTTGGCAAAATCACAATCACGATTTTATCACAATGTTTTTGATATTGTTTAGACAAATTTGTAAGTTGCTGACCAGTTCAACCAAACTTATTAATGTTTTTTAAATGCACAAAAACTGCGCAGACAAGTTTAATCTATTTGAAAAACATCTTTGTAGGAGGTCTGGAGGTCTCCCACCCAGAATATCTTTAGCAATAGAAATGTCTTTCCATCAATTTGATCAATATTTATGCACAATTTGAAGGTTTTCCTCACCACTTTGAAATGATGATTTAGTTATGTGTCCTCTTTCATCAGGAACGTGTCCTCGTTCATCAGGAACATTTTCAGGCAGTGATGCATTCATTTAAAAACATGTAGACTTCGAGTTCTTGTGTTTCTGTTCTATTTTAGCCCTGCAGAGTTCCTACAGCTGGAGCTTCATACGGGCTCTGCAGCATTTAAAAAAAAAAAAAATTTATGACATCACTGGACTAACTTTAGTTTAGTTTATATATAATCAAACATAATACAGAGACGCGTCTGTGTCGGAGCATAAACTGCATGATAGAATAAACACATTAGCCCGGTTCTACGATCTCTCTGCTTTGGCAGATCGTCAGCAAGTTAAAATCCTTCACGATCTAAGATCGTTATATCGCCCACCACTACTTGAAGGTGCGCATTGCTGTCGACTATTGTTTATAACGCTCGAGCCAAGGAGGAAAGAAAGCTTACCCGCCTAAAACCATATAGAAAGAATAGGAGACGTACATTTGAATTAATCAACATTGAAAAGGCAGAATAGAGTAAATTAGGATCTGATTTAGAACAGAATAGAACAAAATGTCAGGAAGGAGGAGGATTGCTGCCACAGAGGCTCCAGAGCCTTGATGAGGCAGAGTCTGATGGAGGCGCAGGTTCGGATACGGAAAGTGATGTCTCCTGGTCTCTCTTCATCTGACACTGGCTCTGAGATTGAATCTGACAATGATACAGACATCATTTCCATTCGCAAAAAACGCTGGCTGCTGTTCCCGTGGTTGTCGATAAACTATTCAAATTTCAAATTCATTAGAATTTAATGTTTGTGTCCTGAAGTTTATTATACCTTTCACAACATTACAGAGCCATTTATTCTTATATTTCATATTGATTATTTAAATGATATGCAAACAATTAGTTAACAGTCAAAATGGCCGCTATGGCCTTTCTAGTAGTGATAGAATGCCGTCGTTCTAGTGTTAATTTAAATTTGACATTTTTGTGTTTTGGTTTCCTACTTTTTGCTTGTCGTACTTTGCGTTCACATGCAAAGGACAATTACATCTCGAATTTCCTTTTTCTTTTTATATACTCCCTCATTATTATCTCCAGGTATGGGAGAAAAAACACACTTTTGGCCTCTTACATCATGGCGATCGTGTTCGGTTTCTCCAGCGCATTTGCGAACTCCTACATTCTGTTTGCAGGGCTGAGATTTCTGACTGGGTTTGGACTGACAGGAATCAGCATCAACTCAGCGGTTCTCAGTAAGCTACCATGATACTACAGTACATGCCATGTGTTGTGTTTACAGACCCCTTCTTCTGCCTTTAAAAAAAGAAAAAGAGTAAATCCAGTGTTAAGATTTGAGATGCTTTATAAAATGTGTACAAGCCTGTCTAATTTGTGGTTTGTTAAAACTACTAATGAAATCTAATTTATTTGTGCTCTTTAATAATATTTTGTAATTTTTTGGCATTCAGCCATCGAGTGGGTGGACACAGGTCATAGGTCATTTATTGGTGTGATGGGCAGTCTTGCCTGGTCTGTGGGCAACATGCTGCTGGCTGGGTTTGCCTTCCTGGTCACTGACTGGCGGTCACTCATCATGACTGTCACAGCCCCACTGGGATTCGCAGTCATCACCTGGTGGTACGTTGAAAAAAAGCCTCAACCAGTTGGTCATTTTATTAAGGTTACCTGTATAATTTAACAGAAGGTATTGCATTAAGTTACAACTCTGGACCAAATTAGGTTCCTCTTGATGTGTGTTATTATGTGTTAAGAAAATAAATGTGAAAGCATAAAGTGGTATAAATAAAAGCACAAATAGTTGAATAAACTGTGGCAAATACCATCATGCCCAGGAGTCAATACAAATATAAATGAATGTGGAAAGAAAAGGGAAACCAACAAACTAAATTATTCATCTATTACTATGGTTATTGTTTTGGGGTTATTTCATTGTTCAAATCTTTGAATTGAATTGCAGGTGGGTTCCTGAGTCTGCCCGTTGGCTTTTAGCTAATGGTAAAGTTGAAAGCGCCCAGTTTTATCTTGACAAATGTGCTTCATTCAACAAAAGACCCAAACTGTCATCGAAAATCAAACTGGATGTAAGTTTGAGCTTGATCTTAATTGTTTTTGTTGAAAGCTTAAATGTGTGCATATTTGATCTTGCATTTAATTATTTTCTAATTGTTCAGATGGCATTTGTGTCCTATGGTAGAAAAAATGTCGCATATCGCCATGTCCACCTGCTTGTGTCTGCACAATTATATCTGGAGAACTATTGGGTGCCTGCATTGCTTTTAGCAGGGGCCGACTATTTTAATGTTTAGCAGTGACCAAATTAATTAATACTCATTGTACAACAGAACTGTTCAATATGAATAAGCAAAACAAATGCATACAATAGATACACAAAAACAACCATCAGCCCTTTTTAGAGTTTCCTGCTTTGAACAATTTCACAGCTCAGCAAGACGACTTTCTGGTAACACAAATTGACTTTGTGATTAAGCTCTCACTTTACTTGATGCCTTCTGCACTTGCATCAACACAGTGTGTTGAAATCTAATGTTTACTTAATCTTTTACACACCGACTGGATTTTTTATCTCCTGAATTATGAATGATGAAATTGCGATAGGAATTGATCTTGTCATGGCCAAAATAAAAATAAAAGGAGGTTTTCAGAAAGTCTTTCACAAAGATAATAAACAAAACTGATAGAAAATTGTCTTTGAACATGATTTAATACCTCTGCACAGGTACTGTCCAGTGTGGAAATCCAGGAAAAGCAGGAGAAAAACTACACTTACCTCGACCTAATCAAGACCCCCAAGATGAGATTGCTGTCCCTAAAGGCTGGGATTGTGTGGTGGGTATCACCCTAAAAACACGAATGCAAAGTCAATTCAATAACCTCCAGTTGTATAAATGCACAGATAAATAGATGCCTTCAAAAAACACAATGTTCTTTTTAAAAACCTTTCTCTGCAGGTTTGGAGTGGCCTTGACTTATTATGGAATCAGCTTGAACATCAGTGGATTTGGATTAAACATGTACCTCACACACTTTATCTATGCTGCCATTGAAGTCCCTGCCAAACTGATGATCTATTTCCTTCTTAACATCATTGGGCGGAGAAAATGTCAGGCTGGAACTCTGTTACTGACTGGATTCTGCATCGCCATAAACATCTTTCTTCCAACAGGTCAGAGTGTGCATCAAAAAAGGTTTATTTTAAATATTTCAGAATTGTCCCTAATACATACAATCATTTCTATATCAGTCTATGTGTTATACATGTAATGCAAAGGATTAGAAGCTATTGCAAAACTATGTACAGTATGAAGAATTACAGCATAGCATTTTTTTTCAACAGGCTGGTTGGATTGTAAAACTAATGGAGATATTTCCTTCTTTTCAAGTTAATGAAAGTTTTATACATGTATATCAGACTGCCTTTTCTATACTTTGTAGGTCTGTGGCATGTGCGTGCTGTTGTTGCCATTCTAGGAAAAGGCTTATCTGAAGCTTCCTTCACGACCGTCTTCCTCTACACGACAGAGCTTTACCCCACAGTTATCAGGTCTGTATGTCTTACCTGTAAAAAGGCACTACTGTCTTTCAGCTAAAATCCTTTTTTAATGCAGGGTTATATTAAAGATGGTTAAAAAAAATAATAATTATATTTTCACATGTTGTGTGCATCATGTTTTAACAATGTTTTACAAAAAACAAAACTAATATATGACTCTTTGAAATCTTTTTAAAGAATATATTATCAAACATTTTCTTCATTATACACTAAATTACCACGACATTAAGTCGTGGTGGGAGATAAAAAAAAAACTGCTTGCAGGCACAATGGAAACAATGCCAATTCAGACTGAACATGGAAGGAAAGAAAGCCTTTAACCAAGTCAATGACATGTTTAGCTTTAAGCAGCGGAAATATTATGTGAGGTTTAAATAAAACAACAGTATAGTTGTATTATGACTTTATGTTACATGCATGATGTAACTTACATTGTGTTACGTATGTGACTCAATTTATTGGGCACCTAAACTACCTGGTTACACTCTGGGAAGTGAAATGGCTTGGGTTGAAAAACTTGTGTGGTCGTAGATTAGGTTACAATAAATAAGTAACTCTTTGTTATGCATGTGGACGGCACAGTTGTACAGAGATTAGCGATGAGGTTCCATGTTCTAATCTCTGTCGGGCACGGCCTTTCTGTGTAGAGTTTACATGTTCTCCCAGGTACTCCAGCTTCCTCCCACAGTCCAAAGCTATGCTTGTTAAATAAATTGGTGACTCTACATTGAGTGTGGCTGGTTGTCTGTCTCTATATGTCAGCCCTGTGATTGACTGGCGAACAGTCCAGGGTGTACCCTGCCTTTCACCCAATGACAGCTGGGATCAGCTCCAGCACCCTGCGACCCCCTAACAGGAAAAGCGGTAGATAATGGATGGATGGATGGTATCCTGTTATCTGTAAAGTAAATACAGTGTCAACAGCAAAAATGATTCCCATTGACTTTCCATTGGTACTGGAAGTTGTTACAGACTTTTCCCCCCTCAACCTTATGATACATCACTTCTACATTTTCAGCAAGTTATGGTCATACATTTATTTCCGTGAGATCATGCTGATGTCATCGGTTCAGATGAGGACCATCAAAAATCCTTAACATGTCCTGTCCTCAGTGTGGTCACAGAAAGGGTTACGTATTGACTAGAGGACAGCTGATGTATCTTCTGTCTCTCCAGACAAAATGGTCTGGGGTACGTCAGCTTCATCAGTCGTCTGGGAGTATCAATCGCTCCGCTCATCTTGCTGCTGGAGGATGTGTGGACTCTTCTTCCTCAGATCATCATCGGCTGCATGGCCATCATTTCTGGCCTGGTGTCCCTGCTGCTTCCAGAGACAATGAACGCGAGGCTGCCGGAGATAATCGACGACATTGAAAAGCCAAGGTTGGTCAAAGAATGAATTGAAGCCACACTATTAGATAGTTAAACATTTCCTTAGCAACACCGCCATCTGGTGGAAGTATTGGGAATTACATTTATAAGCAGCCTGAATGCTGACTGATCTTTGGTTTCAGATTTTCAAACTTATAAAAAGCTCCACCTGACCTGCATTTATAATAAATATGTTTTTATTTCAAAGAATGGTGAAGCCTTAATCCACTTATGTTGGGAGTTTTAAGAATTCTGCTGGATTTTAAATAAAAAATATAAAAATGACATTCACTGTATGGCTAAAGAACACACATCACTTGACAACTTAATATCATGGTCCTAAAAAAAAATATTTACAGATATCTTTGGGAAGCTTTTGAAAGTAATTGTCCGTTTGATATCAGTAAGAACTGTATTTATCAAAGTCATTTCTAAGGCCATGGCTGGGGTTTTAATTGACTACATTATATCAAAATGTGTGTCTAAACTCAATCCAAATAAATATTGTATTGTTTCATTTCAGAAAAAAAGAAATCTGCTCTCAAACTTCAGAGTCTGCCGGTGTCGTCCTGGAATCAAAGAGTACAACAACAGAAACTAAGGAGTAAAGAGACAAGAATAAAGAGGACTGTGTTTTTGTGCTCATACACATCAAACAGAACACGGGTAACCTTAACCCATCTGGGCTTTACTTGAGCCAAGCAATGTTTTTTGTTTGTGTTTTTCAGATACTGCTGACTGTTATGAAATGGAAAAATAAAATATATCAGGAAAATCTATATAAATGTATATGCACTTATCTGCTATATAACATGTGACTGTTGTTCTCAAAGTGTGGAATTTAGGCTGTAAATAATTTAACTTAATGTCAAAGAAATGTCACAGAAGTTCCTCATCGAGTCACATTATGACCCCTTACAGACAACATTCAAGTGTATTGTTGCATACAAGTCTTGCAATTAAATACTTGACTATTTCAAGTAAAGTACAAGTGACAGACAACAAAATCCTTTTAATAAATAATGTCAAAATATAAATAAATAATGTCAAAATAAATAAATCTTAGCTTTGACAGACTACCATATGACCATGACAGATTCATCTTATAGGTAAAAAAACAATGATTAAACCTCAATTTCAAATATACAGGTATATCGTTAGCCTCATAACATAATTGCCTAAGTCTTATTTTGGCCAAATCTGCCTAACTCTACTCTCCTAACACTGCTGATTCACCATGCATTAAAATGGTGGCCCCCTTGAAAAACAGGTCTCAGTTGACCACAAGTGAAGCATTAGCTCTTCTCTTTGATTCATCTGGTAAGCTAGATCATTTTTATTCAACTTTCTATACAGTAAATGTCATTTCAGTCAATCGTAGGAATTATGAACTGCCGAGGTGAACTCCAGTCACATTGAAATGTGTTTTTCCTTCTTTTCTGAAAACCTTAAGATATGACTTAGGCAATTATGCTAAGAGGCTAACAATATTGTAAAAGTTTAGGACAGCATAGGACAAAATACATGTCATGAAGATAATCACTCGTCTTGCCTCCAGTATGTGTCTTGAAGGATTGCCCTGTTGAAACCCTTCCTTTCCAGCGGTCACAAAATGCTAAGTATTGAATCATATTATGTAACAAGATTTTTTTCTGAACGCAGCAAAACTTAGACTACGTTATTCTTAAAATAAAAAATCATTTTATTGGAAAGTTGCTGCAAATTAATGTGGTTTACAGTGACCAACAAGATTGTGAGGACCTCGAAGGACTGTCATATAACTAAACCATACCTGCTAACCAGCAACATCCAATCATGTTCATGAAAGGCTTACTTGACTTGACACTTCACAGATACAACTGATGTGCTCATGCCATTGAGCCAGTTTGTTTCTATCTAAATGGTGGTTTTTGTTATCTGCTCCTGCAACCAAACAGGAGCATGAACTGTCCCAAACTGAACCGATAAATGTGTTTGGATAATTTTCCGTGTCCTCCTCAAAGTCTTGTCTCTATAGTCCCAGCCACAGTGTCCACAGTGGGTCTCATGTTCTCTTTGCGACTTGAACTGTGACAGCAGGGCAGCGCCTGCAGCACCTCTTTGAGCCCTCTGGTCATGAAAATATAAAGAAAAGGGTCCACCAGAGGGCTGAGGTAGAGCAACAGGTGAGACACCAGGCCCAGGTAGGAAACAATCTCCTCAAAGGACAGAGCATCTAAGAGGATGCTGAGGATGAAGGGGGTGTAGAGGAAGGTGTAGTTAGCCCAGATTGCACCGATCCCCAACACCGCCCTCCTCCTCTCTGGGGTTGTAGGGTTAGTTCTGGAGCAGATCAGGGCCCTCCAGGAGTCCACAGTGAAGAAGAGGAGAAGGGGGAAAGGAGCAAGAAGAGAAACAGCAAACCAGAGGTTGTAGTGCAGCACCGCCAGGGCTAGGATCCCAAACGGAGCAGCCCACGCCAACAAGGCGACTGCAGGAGACCGCCTGATGCTGATGCAGCAGCCCTGACACTGTGGGTAGGCCACCACGAGATGGCGCTCCTGAGCTATGAACACCATGAGAGTGATGTTGGTGACTACACCAAAATAGAAGATGAAGTCTGTGGGATTTGAAGAGAAGACAGTTCCACTTTCCATGTCAGGGTTCACTTTCGGACGACCAAAGAAACTAATAATGTCAGAGACCAGGAGGAACATGACATGTATGGGAATTTTGTTTTCACCTGGAAAGAACAAAAGAAAAATGTGTTGTTAAAACTGTGACAATTATGACTACTACCACTGCAAGTAGGGTATGCATTATCAATCAATCAATCAAAGTTTATTTGTATAGCACTTTCTGTACAACAATGTATCACAAAGTGTTTTTACATCAACATAAATCAAACAGCAACCCCACCCCTACCCCACAATCCAAAAACTAAGGTAAAATAACTACATAAAAACAGGTACTGATGGACTGAGGAAATGCTTTCAATAATTCTCAATGAGGAAACACAGGAGGTAAAAAATGTAATAAAACTAGATGAAATGAGATTCAGTTAAAAGCTAGACTAAACAGGTAGGTCTTGAGTTTGCTTTTAACATTTTTTTACATTGTGTTTAAACTACCTCTGGTACCAGTAATATTGTTGCTGATTGGCCTATGGGTACCACTTACAAAGATATTTTGGTGGCATTGGTCCTAGAAGTCATTTTGTACTCGATAACGTTACACTAAAGATGAAGCCTTCTGTTACTAAACCAGACATCTTGTTCTTACTCTGGCATTGTTACATTTTTATGACTGTTGTACTATTAAAAAATATCTACAAGCAGCAAGACTCAACTCAACATAAGAAATGGATGTAGCCCCTTGCTTTAGTTTAACTAATAGTGAGGCATATGTGGAAGCTTCTTAAACCTGTATTTCTTTCTAATGGCCAGTAGGGGGTGATGCCACTAGCTGCCAAAATAAATCCGTTTTTAATGAAGTCTATGGATTTGTCTGAAATCACTCACTCATTCCCTTCTCACTATATAGTAGACCATATTGTGCACTCATTCAGTACAATAAGAAAGAACAGTTTGACACTACACGGCCACCGATAATGACATCATTGCTGTCACACAACTAAAAAGTGCAGCTTAATGCCGGCCCAGGATCAATAATAATAGCATGAATTTCAGTGTTCACTTATTTTATACTAATTGTACTAAAAATATTTTTAGAAAAATATAACAGATGGTTCCATCTAGCTCCAGTAGCCCAAAGAACGAATGAGTTTTAAATTTAACAAAGTTCCAAAACCTGCACTGGAACAGTACAAACGTCACCCGCTCATTCAGAGTCCATAACATCAAGCTAAGGTTGCATTCCATTTACTTTGGAAGTGGGACGTCCGAGCGCTCCCCTGTTATCTATGACTGGCTATGTGCCTAGTCTCAGGTGGGAATCAATCAACAGCTTGGCCTGTGTTGCATTAGGCTGTTAGTAGCACTCTTAACATTTCAATGTCATTTCTTGTTGCTATACTCTAGTTTGAGACTTTGAAGACAATTTTATTGTTGAGTCCTTGAAGAGCTAAGCCTAAAGGATTTATGTGTGGCCACTCCGTTTTGTTACCTTTAAAAATATAAATATATAGGCATATATACTGGCTAGCCCATCAATCTTGTTAAATTCTTGGCTACATCCATTTAATGCATGCCTATACCTCCAATGGGATTATTAGGCTACAGATAGAAAGGGTAAATTAACACTATTAATTCCAGTAATTCCTATCTTTTTGTAATTCTGCACTGACCAAGCAAATCCCCCTCACAGCCCCTCAACCTTCTTCTACTTGCTTTGAGATGAAATCAGGAGGTGTAGGCAGGGTGTATACATTTTTCAATGATGGGTGCACACATGAAGAGCGGAGTCAGTACAAACCTTTGGACAGATTTTTGAGGGTGTAAATAGCCAGGCCAATGGCAGGCAGCCCGATGCTGAATGTCAACCAGCTGATCACGCTGGCTACCTGGACGCCAAGGGGTGTGGTGCCGTTTCCACTCTGATTGTGCGTGACACTGGTGAGGACGGGGACAGTTGCTGTCTCTGTGCTGCGCTCAGCCATAAGAGGCAACACAGAGGCTATTTATGTGTTCAGCTGTTCAGATTAACATGGAGATCTTCAGAGTGTGCTGCTCAGCTGAATCTGGTGATACAGTAGGTAGAAATGGAGACCTTCTCCGACTCAGCCAAAAGGCAGACCAGAATAAGTCCTGTTTAAGAAATAAAATAAGCACAAAGCAGAAATCTTAAACACAAAACTTTTGGTTTCCTGAGCAGAGCGCTCAGTTATCATGTCACCCTTGAATCAATGACTGCCAATGAGTAAAATCACTCCAAACTAGGTATAAATCCTCAGGCCTTTTAATCAAGCACCGCTGACATGTTTCAGTGTTGTTTATTTAATTAGGAGGGTTATTTTTTAATAAAGTAACAGATCAACAAGTGTTTGCTGACAATGGAATCATTTGTTCAGGGTCAGAGGTGCAAATAAATGAAACTAAATCAATGATGGAACATTTTTGTGAATCTCTACAGCAGCAATCAGCAATTACAATGAAGCTCAATACTTCTGGTGGAGCTTCAGGGGATGTTAGTGGAAATAATACTGGCAAAATGATGAAAGAAATACAGAAGGTACTGTTTTAAGGACAAAAAGAACGCATTTTAATGGTTGTGAGGTTTTCAATATCATTTATGTGGCTAAATAAAATGAAGGTTTTGGTTCAATAGTTGTTTTAAAGCTGCAGAAATCATGTGAGAGAAACATCAATACCAGCTCCACCACAACGCCCTAACATATTATCATCGTATAGTTGTTGTTCTGTCTTTCTGTCTAACATAGGTCTAATATTCACTCCTCTTTGAACCTGGTTTGGTCAATAAAGCAGGTCTACCCCCTCTTTCTTCAACAGCTTGTTTAGTACTAAGCAGGTGGTATAAATACCATAACAGCAACACTTAAAAAAGAGGCTAAACCATTGAGATTCTCATTTCTGAATTGGTGATATAACAAAACAGAAATGAAGATATAACAATCCATAGATGAAAAGTACTCCATCCTCATATGTCACATCATACATGTACTATATAAAAGAAGGCAGACTAAGTTGAGGTTTTGTGGCCACTCCCTTTCAAGGGCCCAATTTCTTTTTTAATCTGACTATACAAATGATAACACAATCATCCTTTTTTTGATGAATCAAGTACCTTACCTGTAGTTGACGCTGAATGCTGAAATGGAGAGCCGTGTCGAGGCGCTTTGCCCGTCTGATTATCAATGAACAGGTTTAAGTCCAGGTTTATATTTGTTGGTGTCATTTCCTGTAAGCATTTATTGCTGCAGTGCTGAGCCTTCTTATCGCCACAGACCTTGGCTGGCTGCTTTGAATGAAGAATATTCTCCATTGGTTTACATGGGTCATTCTGTGTATTCATGATAAAACAGGGTATTTGCATGAAAGACGGATGCAAAAGCCTTTACCTTAACAGTTTTTCGTCATGATCGTTCCGCTCCAAAAAAGAAAAGAAAAGGAGTGCTTCACCAACTTTAACACACAAAAAAAGAT